ATGTGAACTATATCTAAATCTGAACCGATTTTCAAGAAATTTTACACACATCATTCTAGACTCAATCCAGTACGCTATGCCAAATTTTGTGGAAATCGAAAGATATATAGGGACGTTGGTGAACCATTTATCATAAATCGGTCGAAAATATATATAGGAGCTATATCTAAATCTGAACCGATTTTCACGAAACTTAGCACACATTATTCTAGACTCAATTTAGTACGCTATGCCAAATTTCGTGCAAATCGAAATATATATAGGGGCTTTTGTGCAACATTTACATAAAATCGGAAGAAACTATATATGGGAGCTATATGTAAATCTGAACCGATTTTCACGAAACTTAGCACACATTATTCTAGACTCAATGCCAAATTTCATGTATATCGCTATGCCAAATTTCACGTATATCGAAAGATATTTAGGGACTTTGGCGCACCATTTACCTTAAATCGGACGATAATATATATGCGAGCTATATCTAAATCTGAACCGATTTTTACTATTTTACTATTGGACCAAACAAATGAGCTGTACCAAATTTCATCCAAATCGGATTATAAATGCTACCTATACTTTGTTTACAATTTAACACCAACAGACGTACAACGGGCAGACGGACGGAACTACATGCATAAATGGACTCAGAAAGTGATTCTATGCATATTCTCAAAAGGAACCATGTGTCCATCTCGTTTCCTTTTGACTGTTACAAACATATGCACAAAGACATAATACCCTGTACCACAGTGTAGTGAAGGGTATAAAAAGGTACTCTTGGATGGACCTCCAAAAAATATTCTGTAAACAAAAAATGTTCTTCCGAAAAAAGTTATTAAAATAACGGGACCTTCAAAAATATATACTTTTTATACAACCACGCTTTGAAGGTGTCAACGATATATTCTCTATAAAATCCGCACTTTCAAGGATCTCCAATCAAGGCCTCGTCTGTACTCCCTTCCTTTAGATCGTTTATAGAGACTCCCTTCAGCTCCTCTATAAAAACCCGCTTCTGCTCTCCTATTAAGACCCGCTTCAGCTTACCTATGAAGACCCGCTTTAGCTCGTCTATGAAGACCCGCTTTAGCTTGTCTATGAAGACTCCCTTCAGCTCATCTATAAAGACTCCCTTAGGCTCGTCTATGGAAGAATATGATCAGCTCGTCTATTGTGTTTCCCTTCAGCTCGTCTATAAAGACTCGCCTAAACTCTAGTCTCGAGTCGCCTATAGAGACTCCCTTCAGCTCTTCTATGAAAGACTCCGAGCTTCAGCTCGTCTATGAAAGACTCCGAGCTTCAGCTCGTCTATGAAAGACTCCGAGCTTCAGCTCGTCTATGAAAGACTCCGAGCTTCAGCTCGTCTATGAAAGACTCCGAGCTTCAGCTCGTCTATGAAAGACTCCGAGCTTCAGCTCGTCTATGAAAGACTCCGAGCTTCAGTTCGTCTATGAAAGACTCCGAGCTTCAGCTCGTCTATGAAAGGCTCCGAGCTTCAGCTCGTCTATGAAAGGCTCCGAGCTTCAGCTCGTCTATGAAAGGCTCCGAGCTTCAGCTCATCTATGAAAGGCTCCGAGCTTTAGCTCGTCTATGAAAAGCTCCGAGCTTCAGCTCGTCTATGAAAGGCTCCGAGCTTCAGCTCGTCTATGAAAGGCTCCGAGCTTCAGCTCATCTATGAAAGACACCCTTCAGCTCGTCTATGAAAGACTACCTTCAGCTCGTCTATGAAAGACTACCTTCAGCTCGTCTATGAAAGACTACCTTAAGCTCTTCTATGAAAGACTGCCTCAGCCCGGCTATAAAACACTGCCTGGCCTTCTGCTCACCAGTGAAAGACTCCCTTCACATAATGTCAATTTGTCTTGATTTTTGTGTGTTTTTGATACCCATCAAAGTCATGCTTACCTGTATCAGATCAACATCTCCCTCAATCTTTGTTTCCTCCTCCAAACTGTTGCATGATGGACACTGACACTGCTTATTTTTTATGAATGACATGGACCAGAAAAAAATGATCGATGACAATCTTTGTAAAGAAATAAAAAGACAAGGACAACAATTAAAAAACTATCTTGATGTAACATGAGCTAAAAAACCAACAGATTAGTAGATGTATCATTCCAAGGACAATGGTGACAAAACTGATCTTTGGTCGTTGGACATTTTCTATTCAATTCTATTCATTTTTTTAGTTCTCCCCGATGATTATTTCATTTCAAATTTTTTGGCAATTTGCCAGTCTTCCGAGTAAATCCGGAAATGTCCTGTGTGCATGTGACAATCATGGCATTGTTCTTTTGCCACTTTTGTCCACAAGGGGGATTATGTGGAAAAGGAAGAATACCGGTGAGGACAAAAAGTAAAGTATTGGCCACTTCCTCAAGATGTTAACTGTTATGAAGAGAGATTGTCATTGAGCAGAGAGAGAGAATATGAAACCAAGTGGTTTCAAAGATGTTTTTATTTTTCCGTTTGGCTCTCATTTCAGTTGAGCAAAAGGTAACTATTATTGAGAGAGCTCATTTGTGTGTGCGTACAAATGCTGTTACAAGCTACCAACAACAAGGATGCTTAGCAGGATAATACAATGACCCTATCAAAGCAAATGACATTTTAAAATAATAAATGTGATCAAAGTAAATAGAGATTTCTTTATTTTTCGAAAACGAACAATGGCAGGGTGAAGAAGAGAGCGCGCCAAATTTTGAGCACATTGAGCCAACTGCAAATGAAAATTAATGAGGTTTTCTCTTGAAGTTTAGGGTTTTGTTTGTCCTAAATGAGCATTTAAGATCATCTTGACGTTGGGACTTTGCTGGATGGCTGGCCGACAGACCAAACGACCAGCATTGCAAAAGGTGCAGCATTTCCCTCTTCTGCCTTATGGTCTTGCTCAAAAATTCAGCCCTCATTGGACAGTTTTTTTTTCGTTTCCTAACTAAATAATGATCCTGAATGACCTCTAAGGTAACCTCAAACGCGTGTAACGATTTTTTTTCATTCTTAGAAATTCTTTTGTTTGAATATCTTTTAGGTTGCCTTCCGAACTGATCGACGACTGGACAATTACTATCTCTAGTTAGTTTCTTCTTCTTTTCTATAGGCAAACAATTGACCTTTTGTCATCATCATCGGCAGCAGCAGCATCATCACATTTTCAATTTGATGATAAAAACAATTGGACAATATTTTTTTGCGCTTGTGCCAAATGTATCCCTCGCTGTAGATTTCTTTTTTATAGGCCACCATAAAAATCCCTTTACATTTTTTTTCGATAGTTATAAAAATGAACCTTTAATTGTCCACTATTTTGTGTGAGCTACATCTGTTGTGTGCGACAGAGACAATCTGCCGCACATTATTTTATAGCGGGTGATTTTGTGGCTCTGTTTTCTTTTCTGCTACCCTTAAAATGGTTACTTCTTCTTCATTTTTTGATTTTCTTTGTCCAATTTTTACACATTTTGTTGTATAATAAGAATTTGTGTAAATCGCAAATTTATGGCCTTGGAAATATTTTTTTAGAGTAATAAATTGCTCCAGATTTTTTTCATCAAAAAAAAAAAAAAAACATCACTAAGTCCATTGTCTTGTTGTGTTTTATAAGGACATGTCGTATTGTGTCACAGGATACGCCTAACGGATTACATTCGTTTTACAATTTTTTATGCTGCTTCATATTTCTTAAGAAGCGACTCATTTTTTTTTGTTCTTCTTCCGGTATTATTTGGTTAGAACATAACCTATAAAATAGGGATTTTCTTGTTTAGCGATATTATTGTCCATTAGGATGGCCATTTTTTTTAAGTAAGGGTCTTTCTACATTTCTAAGAATGTTTTACGCTTCTTCAGAATGTCGACTTAGGTTTTGAGTATTTGGAGAGATATTAGAAGAGACGTGGAGGAAATGGTTTTAAAAAATGCACCTTACTTTTATCACCTTAGAAGCTATTCGTTACGAAAGCTATTCGTAAAAAAATCCACTCCGTAAACCCTTAAAAACTATTCTTAAAAAGCCCAGTCCTAAAGCCATACAAAATTATTCTAAAAAATCTAGGCTAAGCTATGCAAAAAATTTAAAAAAATATGCTGTGCTAAAACTTAAAAAAATCCACGCCCTGCCAGCTCACTTTTTCTAAATCTTCAAAAATAATAAAAATATATTTTTTAAATAATCCTTAACAAGTACTAGCGTGAATCGAATCTTTGTTAAAACATTTCCGCCTCGAAATAGAAATATCAATTCGCCCAGATAAATATCCCAATTGAGTTCAAAATGAATTACAGAATTTTGTTTTAAAACTACAGGAAATATTCCAATTAGATGTATTTAATTGGAAGGACATGTTTGGTTCATGTCCTTGATGTAATGCACAGTATATTTTAAATCATAACGTACTGTACCATACATGTGTTGTAGTAGTATCCTTTAGAGAAGAGTTTGGTTGATCTCTTCTCAATCAAAATGAGAATAGTTCCTAGACGAGTTGATGGTCTCCTTCCTAGACGAGTTGAAGGTTGTCTTTATAGACGAGTTGAAGGGCGCCTTTATGGACGAGCAGAACGGCGTGTTTTAGGCAAGCTGATGGGAGTCTTAATAGGTGAGCTGAAGGGCCTTTATAGACTTCCTGAATGGAGTTCATTTCATATATATATATATATATATATTTCTGAATTCTCTTTATAGACAACAAGAAGCAACTATTTAGACCTTTTCAGAAATATTTTTCAAAAGATAAATAAAACTCAGAAAACTTCAATATTTTGTTAATTACATTTTCTTTACATTTATTCTTGTGCAGTCCGAACTTAACGCTTAAATAGGAAATTAAAAAAAATACACCAACACTCTTCCCAAGTATAGAAACTAAATATAATTATTCAAATAGTAAGTCTTCGAAATAAAATAAACAAAAAAGAATTAATCACTAGGAAAATCACAAAGGGTATTGGAACCAGGAAAATAAACTAGAAACTCTAAGAGGAAATAAACAGCCTTTAAGTATTCTTAAGATGATGATACACTGGAGTTTAGAACTCATCATGTCTAATTGATTCAGGATATAATTTATCTATTAGGATTTTTAACAATTTCGAAATATCCAAACGATATTCATCTTCCGATTGTGAATAACGATTTCGTAGTGTCAGGAGGACATGTCGAAATTGTGGACTCTGTGACCACAGAGGTGAACAAAACGATTTTGTATTCTCTAGAGCATTTGTAAAATATTCCAATATATCAGGTGCCTCGAGGAATTCATAGAGATTAGTTGTAACAAGGCCATCCATTGTTTCACAATACGAATTGGCTTCAAGCCATTCGGGGAAACTTAATTCGGCATATTGTGCCGCCGCCAGCGGATCATCATCGGCTGATGATTTGGAGAGAACCAATTCTTTTTCCACAATTATATCACTGATAATGGTAACGGCTTTGGCTTTTATTTTCAATTCTGCTTCTTTACCCAAGACTGAAACCAAGGCTTGTGTTCCCGATGTGGAAAGTATGCGCTGTTGGGCATGTGGAAACTTGCGCAGCAAGCTACTGAAAGCATATAGAGCTGTGGAGAGTTCCTCGGTGCGTGTTGAGCTCATTAGGATTTGTGTGAGATGTGAGCCCACATTACGTTCATACACCTTAATTTGTACTTTGGGATTATTTTGACACATTGCACCGAGGACACGCATAACTTCCACCTTCAAACCCACATGTGTCTGATTGACCAATGTTGGTAATATAACTTGATCCAAACCTCCCTGTTCCACAAACAGCTGGGCATTATCATATTGGGACATTAGATAATTGAAACTTTCCAATATTTGCGTCTGTGTCTTAATGCGGACTTCCATATCTTTGCTATCCTTGGTGATATTATGGAATTCCTCAATCAGTTGTACGATAATTTCACCATCCGACTTAAAAGCTTTACGCATTCCTTCAAATGTCTTCTTCAGCTCTTCATAGGAACGGAATTCGCGCTTTATATTTTGCAATTTCTCCTCGGGATTATAATCAATGCCAATTCGCTTAAGGGCCTCATCCAAATGTTTAACTTTCTTGGGTTGTCCATTTTCACCGTTATAGTCTTCCGGTGCTTCACTGTCGCCCTCTTCGTCTTCCTCCTCTTTAACCATGTCATAGTCATCGGGCAAAACGGATAATGCTCCATCCTTGTGCATAACTTTTAAAGGATCATTGCTACTGTCATCGGTTTCATCCAAAAGTTTAGCTTCCTTCTTTCCGGTTTGCAAATTGATGCGGACATGTAGACCCTGAGGTATTCCTTGACCTATTCCCAAAAAATATAAACAATTAAAAACAACAACAAAAACACATTATTTATGATGTTGGATACCTTCTGGAATTTCCTGCCATTCATGGGTTGCCACAAATGTTTGATTTTTCTTCACTTCGTTACTATCCTTCGTCCATACCGGACTGGTAAATAGTCCCAGCACTATTAGTAGTGTGTACAACTTCATACCGTATTTATTTTATTAATAATTTTGCAAAATATTCGACAATTGTAGAGCGGTTTTAAACATTTACGTGTACATTTTAGTTCACTTGGATGATTCTGCGGTGTGAACTTTTAAAACTAGTTTCATTTGAATAAAGGCCTATAAATAAGGTAAGCCAGCTAGCGAAAAACAGCTGTTTTTCTTTAAAATTTATTTTTTGTTTACCTTTTCATAATGGAAGCCAATTCACAATAAAGTTTTTTTGGCAGCAAACTTAAGAGACAACTGATGTCCAGCTGGTCTCCCTGGACGACCTTATTTATAGACCTTAGAATGTACCAAACAAAAAACAACAAAAAATTTACTGCGAAATATCACCCTTCCAATGAGCATAAATCTAAAAGAGATTGGAATGGCAGTAAATTTGCTGATATCAGCCATAAACAACTGATATCCAGCTGGTTAATAGGCCTTAAATAATTCTACCTCGGAACGGCGAATAATGGAACGATATGAATAAAAAAAATTCTAGTTCCAATTGTTCCATTCTCCGAGTACTCCCTTTGAACTAGTTCCTACCACAGTCGAACTACATAACCCTTATTGCAAATAGAAATATAACTGCGCGTAACAAGAACACGAACCTAGAATATTTCTATTTCACAATATTTTCCAATTTTTGTATGGTGTAAAAAGCAAATATTTAATTTTTGAAATCCCAAATCAATCAAAGCAATGGCATCATTGACCAGAGTATCACGCCTTTTGCAGGCTCCATTGAGACGTGTTCAAAGTATTCCCGTTGCATTATATCACGAGAATGTAAGTATCTTTGTTGATAGATTGTGTGGAATTCTTAACTACAAAAAAAATGATTCCCTTTTTTTCAAAATAGTGTGATTAGTTATTGTTGTTGTTGCTGTACCAGTAATTTATTGTTGCGCTCTGAAGTGGTGCCGAGAAATTTCAAGGTCTAGTTTAGTCAACATGCCTGTTTGTGTTTTTGTTTTGTACTCTATATAGTATAGCGGTGACGATGGGATGAAGGCCCCTTTGCCGGCTGTTATTTTTTTGTTTTGGCAATCTATCAAAATCAAAGTTTATATATGGGAATTTTTTACGGGATAATTAAGGGATTGATGATTTAAATGATGTGGAAAGAAATACCATAAGAAAAGTGGAAAAGTATTGTAGGAATAGATGCAGTATTTGTTCAGAACTTCCGGCAAAGTACAAGTTCAGGGCCTCATCGCAGATCATGGTGGACGTTTTACCATATGTAGTGGTGATTGCAACGATTTTTATTAAGCCCATACTTCCAAAGATACGGCTGTAATTTTACCTTTCGGATTTTTGAAAGATGAAAAACAAATTTTTAGCCGTAGTGGGTTATGATCCGGGTTCTTGGAGATTGAAAAAATATATTTGCAGATAATCTATACTAATAAAAGAGTAAAGAGATTGACTGACTGACTTAACGATTCATCAACGCCCAGACGAAATGACTGAAACTAGAATGTTGAAATTTTGGGTGAGGTTCACTCTTAGTCCAAAGGTGTCAGATATGGTTGGGTTTTTGGAAATTCATACTAGAAGGATACGCACTAAATGAAGTACCATTTGTATTTGGCGAAGCGGTAGAGCTAGAGTATATGTAGCAATGTGTTTTTTAGAAATTAGAACTATGAGTATCCGAAAGTACTAAAATGGACTAAATTTGGTCGATATAAAGGAGGTGGTTTTGTAAGCGTTTAATCATGTATACGAAAAGTACTGAGCAGTACTAAATTTGGTACAATTTGAATTTTGGGGAAACAAATCCTGAAATTTAAAATAACATTACCGTCGTAAAGTCGATTTAGAAATGTGTACTTGTGTGTACGAAAAGTACTAAATAGTACTATATTTGGTACAATTTGGATTTTGGGTTAACCAATAGATCTGGGATCCTGAAAATTGGAGTGTAAGATTGGGAATATGTAGGAAGTATTGGAAAATTGTACTAATGTGTACTATATGGTACCAAATGTGTTGGAGTGTTGTAGGATTGGGGTATGGATGTAGTTTTGGAAATTCATACTTATGAGTACTATATTGTACTATATTTGGTACAATTTGAATTTTGGGTGAATTGATCTGGGATCCTGAAATTTGGAGTAAGGATCATTGTTGAGATATAAGATTGCGATCTGTAGGAAATTTTGGAAATTTCTATTAATGAGTACTAAATGGTACCAAATGTTGATTTGATAGATAGAGCTGGAATCTTGAAATTTGAAGTTAGGATCACTGTTGGGGTGTAAAATGCGGATATATACACGGAGTTTTGGAAATTGGTATTAAATTTCGTACAATTATATTATGGTAAAGCAATCGACCTGGAATCCTGAAATTGGAAAATATTGTATTTCTATTGGATTTATATTAATGTGTACTAGGTGGTACGAAATTTGGGTGAACCTATAGAGCTCTAATCATGAAATTTCGAAATAAGTACTACAAGAGTAGCAAAGGTAAAAAATGGTACCCAAATTAGTGCAAAGCTAGATTTGTATAGTAGTGTTTTTGAGAGTAGTGTTGATATTTGAAGTTAGTTTTATGGTCAATATTGGTGTGTATGTTGATTAGCTCTACTAACAGATGTAGTTCTCTGTGAAAACAAAATAAAATATTCATTCGTCAACGAAGTAGCGGGCATATGCTAGTAAGTTAATATTAGAACATATCCTTCATATAAAGTTTCCATCCCATTTAGGAATTTTAATGTGCTTAGATGCATTTCCCGATACAATTGCCAACCGAAGAGGCTGTAATTTGTGTTTTTCTATGCTCCATATACACTTTGGCCCCATTATATGAATTTTGAATGCACACCCAATGCTAGAGGAAATAAATAATTCGATCTGACTGAACTTAACGATGTTCTTGCTTGTTGTCATTGTGTTGTAGCATTGCATAGCAAGTTTTAGAGGTTGGGACTTTTTGGAAAGAAAAAACTTCCTCAATAAATAATAGTATAAACAGGTCCTCAACGGTAATACCCATATTATCTTAGTTATTTTTAAGAAGTATAGGACAATTCGGGCTCACATCGAATCCTGTAATAAAGGCACCCATGAGCTAATAAAGGATTGGATGCGGTGCTCAGAATGTGCAGAGCCTGTACTATAGTGTACAATCTTCAAGAGGTTTTCTTGAGAAACAATTTAAATGTACAATCTACATCACATAAAAGCAAATTCTTAATGACATCGTGTTTATGCTTTTTAATTCGTTTTTTACTTTTCAACAATTTGACCTATTTCAGAACAATTTCGGTGGAGCTCGAAAAATAAATTGCGCAGTAAAAATTCAATATGTATGATAATAATTTGATTGACGGGTCTTATTTTTATAACCAACTAAATGACTAAGTGCAATAAATATTTCCTACCTAATCCCTTCAGATGAAGCCTTGCTCTCAAGCTAAAACTCCATTCAATTAAAAATTATTTTCTCAAGATTTAATACTTATCTAAAATAACATTTAAATTTAACAACATCTGTTACTGGTCTTCCATCCCGCCCCCTATTTTGTTTTTGTTCATCCTCTTGTACATGTTATTTTTTATTTTGTAAACAATTGACATTATCACACTGGGTCTTCAACTGATAAACACCATGTATGTGATGTTGTTGTTGTTTTATATTAATAATTTATTAATATATATTTATTTGTCTTGTCTACTTTTTCTCTAGGTAGTTGAACACTACGAAAATCCACGTAATGTTGGTTCTTTAGATAAAAAAGACTCGACCGTTGGTACCGGCCTCGTTGGTGCCCCCGCCTGTGGTGATGTGATGAAATTGCAAATTAAAGTAGACGAAAATGGTAAAATCATCGATGCTAAATTTAAAACCTTCGGTTGTGGTTCAGCCATTGCCAGCAGTTCTTTGGCCACCGAATGGGTAAAAGGCAAGACCATCGATGAGGCTGGTAAATTGAAAAATACCGATATTGCCAAGGAGTTGCGTTTGCCTCCCGTCAAGCTACATTGCTCCATGTTGGCTGAGGATGCCATTAAAGCTGCTCTGGCCGATTACAAAGTCAAACAGCAAAAGAAGAAGGATGACAAATAAATGTTTGTAAAATAAACAAAAAAATCAGCCAACTGGAGAAATGATTTTTATTTATTTTGTCTTCAAAGCGACATAACAAACAAACAAAAAAACGAAAATTATCTAGTTATTTTTAGTACTCATAGGGTATGCTCATAGTTTAAACTTGTTGACTAAATATTTTTGTAGAAAATGAAAAAAAAAATATGTGAAAAAGGGCTTTCATGGAAAGTTTTCTTTAACGATAACTATTTAAGATTGAAGATATACAATAAGGACTACAAATACTTTTTGTGTACGAGCGTTTGGAGAAGTAAAAGCTTAAGTCTGATTTAATAATGTACAAGAGATACAGAACGTTGTCATATTTTAATTCAAAAAATGATCAAAGAAGAAATGTGAAAACCGTTTTGCATATTGAATAAAAAACACAGCTTTTTCTTCTTTCTAAGCCTGACATAAAAATAAAATAAATACAAAAATAAAAAATATATGCTTTAACTGTTAAAAAAAATAATAACTTTTTATTGTTGTTATTTTTCATGCATAAAAAATGTTAGATACAAGAACCGTTTAAGATAGACGGACACTGACATTGCCACCACATTCTCCCTTGGATTTCATCTCATAGGCTGTAAAATGGAATTTAAAAGTTTAAAATATTATTTTTTTTATTTTCGTTTTTACAACAAAAACTTACGATCATCACTGTGCTGACAATTATAGTTGCCCATAACACATTCATTGCCAAAGGTCAAAAGTCTCTCCTTATTGCCATTTTTAGCCTTGGCACAAATGGGTTCATATTTCTCACCACAATTTGCTGAACATGCAGGAGCCTGTTTGTTTTTGGCTGGTGTAGCAACGGCTAGAGCAACCAGGCAAATTACTGAAATTAAAAAAGTAAGGAATTTCCAAAGTTTATAATTATAGATTCAATTTTCCAAGGTTATATCGAAAATAAATCTATTATTATTCTATTTTTAGATGACCTATTAGAATCTATTTTTAAAGAAAACGACTTTTACAAAAAATTTGATTTTAAATAATTATTTTTATTTATTTTTTTATGTATGTGTTTGTGAAACATTAAAGTATGGAATTTGTTATAAACAATTTTTTTTCAACATCCAACAGAAACGTGGGGTTTTTAAAGATTTTTTTCAACAGAAGCGTAGATTTTTTAAAGATTTTTTTAAAAGAAGCTTTGAATTTTTTCAACAAAAGCTGGAATTTTTAAAGAGAAATTTCAACAGAAGCGTGGAATTTTTTTCCACAAAAACATGAATTTTTTAAAGAAACATTTCAACAAAAGCATGAATTTTTTTAAAGAAGAAAAAGAAAATTTTCAATAGAAGCGTGTAATTTTTTCAACAAAACAATCCTAGATTTGGTATAGCCCCCATATAACGGTACCACCAAATATTCGGTATTATGAGGATTTTTTACACGTTTTTAAGCAGCTATTCTTCTTCCTATGAAACAGCTGGAGGTATTCTTCTTATAGGAAAGCTAGAGGAATTTTTCGTCCTATAGGAGAGCTGGAGGTCTTCTCTTCCCATAGGAGAACTGTAGGTATTTTTCCTGCTGGTATGCTTCTTCCTGTGGAAGAGCTGCAGGTCTTCTTCCTGTGGTAGACGTGCAGGTATTCTTTTCGATATTTTAATGCTTTTTTGGCATATGTTTCAACTTAATTGGTCGTAATTTGTTATTTTAGGTTGTGGTGTGGTAGTAAATCTTCCTACAAATATTGGCCACCTTTTAGGGAAGCCGCCATATAACGCAACATCTCAATGGTCCGTATTTTAGGGAGCTTGGAAACGTGCTTTAACCAAATTAGCTGTAATTTGATATTTTCGATTCTCATTGAGTAGAAAATCTGTCTACCAAATATTTTCAATATTGGTCCAAGTTTCCGAGTAGCTCCCATATAATGGTACACCCATTATTCGGTATCTTGAGGGAGTTTTAGACAACTTTTTTTAATGAATTGACTCCAATCCCGTTGGGAAGATTTGAAAAATTATGATGAAAAATTATCCATGTTTGTTATGGGGCCTACGGAGCTGTTAGTTGGTATAAACAGATCTGTAAATAGTATTTTTCCCACGTTCATCAGATCCATGCACTTTTAAAAAATTAATTTTAAACAATGAACTTTTAATCCTCTAAAAACCTTAAATTTCTTACGTTTCAAAAAGTTATCTGCAGATTAAAAGCATTTGAAGAGGTCTTCTGCAGACCGAAGATTGTTTGAAATGGTTATTTGTTGATGAAGTTCTTTCAAGGAGACTTGCATTGAAAGAAAATCTTTCATAGACAAAATATTATTCAATAGATAGTTTTTTTAATTATTTCTTTTAAGAGGTATTCTATATTTTTTAATTCCGTTCAATAGTTTTTCTTTGAAGAAAATACATATCAAGCATTTTTTAATATAACTGATATTTGAACATATTGTTGACTAGTGTAATAAAATGTCCAACTTTAATTAATTTTAATTGCAAATGTAGAACACTCTGGATTTGTATTGTTGTTCTTTTATTTTCTCAAATAATTATAATTTAAATGTCCACAGAATTAGTCATCAAATGAGTGAAAAATTGACCAAACCAACAACAAATACAATAATTTTTGCACACAGTCAATTAAAAAACATGGAGGTAACTTCAATTTCGTTGATGTTATCGTCAACAGTTTTCAATTGAAACAATTAAAAATTTAACTACATAGAAATGTCGTACACACATAATTATCAGGTGATTTAAAATTCGTTCAGTTTAATTAATGATTTAGAATAATAATTAAAACCAACTAAGTTAGAATCTCCCAATGCAGATAAGATTCAATATTACTATACTATAAAAATTGATATCAATTAATATTTACCCAAGAATAATCCCAAAGCAAACCGCATCTTTGATTTTGTTTGTTTGAATATCGTCGTCGTACAGAAAATAAATCACAGCTGCTGAAAACAAGTTCAAAGCGAGGTTACACTTCTCAATCTCAACTAAACCTGAAAGCTTGTCAGTTGTTGATTTTATACACGCAAATTAATGATCACAAAAGACAACCGGCCAAAGCCCGGCTGAGTAAACTAATCGACCGTACCGACAAAATAAACAATGGAAGCTTTAAATCCAAAACAATAATACAAACAAAAAATATAAAATAAAACAAATTATGGACATTACGTGCCCGAGAGAGATTTTGTGATGATGTTTGATGTGTTTTTTGTTTTTGCCATCATATTTGTTTGTTTGCCTTCCAGTCTTTTCCCCAAGCTGTATTGTTGTTTCCACGAAACATCTTAACCCTTTAACGGAATTTATCAAATAATAGAGGCATTAAATAAAAAATAGATACATTGGGATGAATAATTTAAAAAAATATATTTATGGTCTGTTCCCGTACTGCAAGAATCTGCTAGATTTTACTATTTTCTTCGATATCATAAAGGAAAATTCGTTATCGTAGTGAAAAGTGGTAAATTCTTACAGTACGGGAACGGACCATTATTCTACAAAAACCCAATTTGTTGAAGGCAAACAAGGGTTTCTTGATTGGATGTTGAAAAAGTATACATACTTCTTTTGGTGTTGAAAGAAAAACCTGAAGAAATAAACTCAACCGCTTGTTGCTACCTAGGTTGCAATTTTGTAATTCATCTCAGGTTGTCGCATCTTGTATTGTTACACCACGCTAACAAATATTCTATAAAAAAATCCACGCCTAGTGTTGGAAAAAATATTCCATGAAAAATCATGAGTTTCCCGCTGTTGTTGGAATAAAATATTATATTAACAATAGAGGACTGTGATCCATACTTTGGGTGTTGCAAAAATATTCCTTCAACATTTATTCAGCTTTAGACGTTGAAATGTTTTTTAGTACACGGTTCCGGTGGCAGTTCTATATTCTTTAAAAATCCAAGGTTAAAAAAAATATTATTTTAACAAGTAATGAAGTCGACACATTCGAAGTTGTATACGTCTTAACACAAGAACATTCAGAATAACGAAAACGTAACCCGACTATTGTAAGAGGGATATGCAAGTTAAAGATCTGCAAGGAGAAAACGAAATCGATTAGCAAATAATATCTTGAAAATAGATCCCTCAATTCCAAATTACGATCACTACATTGTTCCTACCACCAACAAAATACCTATAAAGAGATTCGACTTTAATTTTGCCACCCAATGAGAACTTAAAATATTCAATTAGAGTCAACTCGGTTGAAAAACAAGTCTGGTCTAAACGTGCCTTGCATTATTGTACCATATGCAATGGATAACTTCAGGTGAATAACATTTATATTTTGATTTGACAGAACAGTCCACTTTGAAAAAAATTGTAATCAGCTGTTTGATATGCCCTACCTTGTTAGCTATGCCCTACCATGTAATAGAAAATAGAAAAAAGTAAGGCTTTTAATTTCATTTACTAAATCACAGAACAGAACTTAAAGTAGAAGTATTTATTTAATTGTTTTTAAATTTTCCATAAAATTTGCCATTGATCCGAGATTCAGGTGTTATATTATCTTCCCCATTTGATGTCATTTCTTCCAAATATTCTTCTTGAATTTCTTCATAAAGTTGTTGACGAGTATGCTGCAGAACAATTTCCAATTGATAGTTTCGATAAACACTATACACCAATGCCAGGGAAAATGTCTGGAAACCTAAAAAGATATCAAAAATATAGTTAAGGAAAAGACTCATAAATGGTCATATTCATTTAAAACATACCAAAAATAATAAAAAGTATAACAAAAAATTCAATCGCATGTGACACACCGTCAAAAGAGGCTTTTAAAAAGATATCATCCAATATAACAATACTGCTATAAATTAACACCACAAATGAACCCAAAAGCCAAGGGGCCATACAAGCGGGGCGTTTCTAATTAAAAAAAATATTGTTATTAAACCTTCTTCATAGTAAATATTTTGTTTAATTCGTCTATACCTTCATAATGCCCCATATAAGTAAAACCGATAGTAATGCCATTATAAAACACATTATCGTATAGATCGTACAATACAGTTCTCGATATTCCCGTTGTTCATAACTCCTATAAATATCCCGGTAATCATCATAGTCATATTGTGCAAATCGATCATATTCCAAATTTTCAAGAATAACAGCAGCAACCATAGAATAAATGAAAATATTCAGACATCCAATGATAATGGCAGTTTGAGTGCGATTAAACCAGGACAACATTGTTTGCCCAGAGAAATAAAAGATCCGATTGGGTGCTAACTGACAGATGTGTGTATTATCATCGCACCGAGCTCTGAGAATAAACTAAATTTAATTAAGCTCACAACGCAATGTCTTGCGGTAAATGCATTCATAATTCATTATCAAAAAATACCGAATCGTGTGAGTGAGACGTTCAGAGATGTCACTACAAGATTCCAAGATGTCGGTGTTGATTAAAAAAAAACGCGCACCATGAGAATAGTTCAAAAATATTACTTAAATAATCTAATCTTAAGTTGGGTCATATAGAAAATTGCCTTTAAATAATTTGGACCTCTGTAATTTTGGATTTGGGAAAGGTTTTCTTTACATTGTCCATGTTTTTGTTGTTTTTGAAAAATTTCTCTTTAGATAAAAAAAAAACATTTAAGGAGTTTAAGGACGTCGTTGCATCCCAGTTTTATTCAATTATATGTGTGGACACCTGTCTTAAATTGAGTTTCGAAATTATAAGTCTAAACTCCGTAGATTGAAACAGCCTGGTGTTGATATTAAGGTCGAAGTCGTTTAATATTTGGCTTTCTTGTATACCTTGCCTTGATAAAAATGTATTATTTTAAACCCCTGAGCTTTTTTTTGTCCCTGAGAAAATATTAAAAAACAATATCCACCCTTGCGGAAATATTATTATATTCTTGCGAATAAATCGAAAAGAAAAATATCCACGCTTTGATTATTTGTGAGAGAATATATAATAAATTCCACGCTTTAATTTTTCTTAAAAAATATTTAAAAAATCCGTGCCTTGATAATTTTCCTTAAAAATAATTATTAAAGATATTCCTTAAAAATATTTATTAAAAACTCATGCCGTGATATTCCTAGGAAAAAATACTTAGTCACGTCACGTCTTCATATTCATTGATTTTTATTTCCTTTTTATAACCATTTTCAATCTTTTTTAGGTGGTATTCCCGAAAATGCACTATTTGTGTGCCTAAAATTATATTAATTTTCGTAAAAGGTACCGAAAATGTCTTTCAAAATGTTCTGCTAGAATATTTAATGATGAACACCCTATTCGATGCCTTCGTCAAGCTATTATGTGATCCCAAGCTAAGACCCAACATGGTCATGATATCGTTATACTTGATACGATATTAATAAATTGAGTCGTTTATTTTGAAAGTGGTTTAAATCGATTTTAGGTTCTGATACAAAACTTGATTTTCTAGAAAAGTTTACAAAACATATCACGTTATGTATTCTATCATGTTTAATATTTTAAAATATTTCTACATTAGAAATAATGGACTTAAAACACTTTCAAAATAAACGGCTCATATCGTAAACACGAAGCTACAAATCTTTATATTCATATTGGCCGATGACTTGGCTTTGAATGGCGATCTGAAATTCTCACACACACATTCGGGGTTCTGTACAAACATAAATAAAATCCTTTAAAAATTCAACATCAATTGCTGTACAAAAAGTTTCTCCCTTTCATTAAAAAATCCAAATGTCTAAACAACCCTTAATCATAAAAGAACAGCTGTTCCGCTGTCAAACGTCAATGTCATACCTCTTTTACCCACATCATTCGTAAACAATCCCATTTAGTCTCCATCCCACCTCATTCGTAACTTTCGGTTCTCCACTTTGACTTCTTCTTTATCGGGCATTTTGTCTTCTCTTCCCATTCGTCATTGCGAATGACGTTTTCACAATTGACAGCGACCAACCAACAAAAGAAAAAGGATAGTTTCCAGATTCTATTGAAAAAATTAAAATTACACAAAATAAACATTAAAAACAATTCCCACAACAACAATGACTTCACGTAAACGCAGTGGTAGTGGTTCCTCAAAAAGACCCAAAGAAAAAGTTGTCTATATCTATGAGCTGTTCTTTCGTGGTGAAGATCCTAGTCAAGAACGTCGTCCTGAATATTCCGAGTTTTGGAATGAATTCTTTCTGCTGCAACCAAATGTTGAAGCATTGGAGGGTGAAATTACCAAGCTGACAAGTGAACAATTCGCTTTGGTTAAGCCCAATTTAAATATGATTTTCCAGAAATGTATAGAAATGTTGGATACCGGTGAGTAGAGGAGGAGGTGACAATAACACAGAATTCATGCTGTGTTGTTGTGTGGACACCAGATTTTCAAAAGCAACAGGGTGTGGCTTTATTTATTAATAATAATTCTTTTATTTATTTATTATATAGATCATCCGAAACGTTTGTGCAATAGCCTTCAAACACTGTGCTCCATGTTCTATGGCATATTTAAAAAATCGACTGCAGATACCTCATATGATATACTGAATGATATATTCGGTTATGAACATATGGACAAATGGATGAAACAGTTAATGGATCATTGTAATCGTATACTTTTAGGTGAGTTGTTATGGAAATATTTAGTGTTAAGAATATTGGAATATAGTTCCATGTAGGGTTTTAGATATTTTGTATAAGCTGCAAAGAGGCAGTGAAACCGATTGTAAACAAATTTGATCATGACTTGTATGTGATTTTAAAATTACTCTCATATTTTTAAAATAACCTATATTATATTAATAGATCATTTGTTTAGTGCAACCAGGACGCCATATGAAACAATATTAAAAATTCTTAATATTTACCAAGAACTGAGCGGATGTTTAATGAACTAAATGTGGTGGCAGGGTTTTATCTGACCATATCGGGATGAAAGCAGACGTAATTTTCTTTCAAAGTCAGTCGTCCTAACACCACAGATCTCAGATTCAAAGAACTCTATCTGGTGGTCAACAGATTAATCGTGCAGTATTTGAGGCGGATGATGGGAACTCAATCGCGTTTCCCGACGAAGCATTAACTGATCCAAAGATTCCGTTTTTTAACCGATAGATTATCATGCATTCCGAGAGTGACAGGGCGCCGAGGTCTATGTCATTTCTGTCGCCAATAGGGAGGACATTTGAGGTATTACTCCTCTCCAGTAGCTGGAGGATGAAATGACACGTAATTTTCTTTCAAAGTCAGCCGTTCTAACACCGCAGATCTCAGATTCAAGGAACTCTAGCTGGTGGTCAGCAGATTAATTGCGTAGTATGGGAGATGGATGATGGGACCTCAATGGCTTTTCTCGACGAACAATTTACTGATCCAAAGATATCGTTATTTTAACCGATAACTTATCATGCATTCCGAGAGTGACAGGGCGCCGAGGTCAATGTCACTTCTATCGCCAGTGAGGTATATCCTCTCCAGTAAGCCGAGGACTAAAATCCAGAGCAGGTCCTGTTATAGAACAGTGTTAGTAGCCCTTGACCGATCATAAACCTTTCATACCACCAGTGATACTATAATGTTTGAGGACGTCGAAAATCATTCCCTCCGGTCTAATGGGAAACGTTTGATAGTTTTATTACATGTGTAGGTAGTGCGGAATAAGAACTCCAAACTCCTATACCCAGATGGATATCTCATCAAACTTTCTTTAAAAATATTAAAAAGTCCACGCCATGATAGTCCTTAAAATTATCAAAAAAATCGACGCCTTGATTGTGCTTAAAAATTCTTAAAAAAATCCCCGCCTGAATAGTCCTTAAAATTGTTAAAAAATCCACGCCCTGATAGTCCTTAAAAAATATTAAAAATCTAAGCATTGATAGTCCTTAAAAAATCCTCAGCTTGATAGTCCTTAAAAAATATTTAACAAATCCACGCCTTGATAGTTCTTAAAAATATTTAAAAAATCCATGACTTGATAGTCCTTAAAAATTACTAAAAAATCCATGACTTGATAGTCCTTAAAAATTATTAAAAAATGTATGCCGTGTAAGTCCTTTAAAATTTCAAAAAATCCAAGCTGGATAGTCCTATAAAAAATCCAAGGTTTCATAGTCCTTGGAAAAAATATTTATAAAAAAGCCATAGATAGTCCTTGAAAAAAATAATTATTATATATATATATATATATATGTTGTTTTTTTTTATTTTTTACTCAAATTTATTTTTCTTCTTCTCTTCCCAGGTGATGTTCCCGAAAATGCACGCTTTATGTGCCTCAAATTATTATTGGTTCTAGTAACGGGTACGGATAATGTCAGTCAAAATGTCCTCTTAGAATATTTAATGATGAACACCCTGTTCGATGCCTTTGTCAAGTTGCTGAGTGATCCAACGCTAAGAGCCCAACATGGTCATGATATTGTTATACTTCTCACCATTTTGGTAAATTATCGTAAACATGAAGCTACAAATCCTTATATAGTGCAATTATCCATATTAGCCGATGAATTGGCTCTGAATGGATATGGTCAAATGATATCGCAATCATTAATTGATTTTTGTCGCCAATATATGCAAAGCCTTAATAATGCACAATCATCATCGTGGTTCTCATCGCTATCGAATATTGTTGGTAATATGTTTGTATCGGATGAGGGCTGTGAACGTGTACAACAAATAAAAGCCAATAATGGTTTGCTATTGGCACTCTATGAGGCAGTGCATTTAAATCGAAATTTTATCACAACATTGTCACATACACAAACCGAATCCAGTGCACCTCCTTCGCCCAGTAATACATTAAGCTTAACCCAGCCGGTGCCGGATTTGGCAAATGCACCCATTATCGATATGACACAATATCCAACGAATTTGCTGGTGGCTGTATTTCAATATTGGTAAGTTCATTTAAATTTTTTTACAACATTCATCAGTACTAATTATTCTCTTTGTTTTTTTTTTTTTTCAGTTCCATAGTAATGCAGGATAACAAAAACGAATCCAGTGTGGCCAATTTGAAATTATGTTTCCTCATATTAACCTGCATTTCTGAAGATCAATATGCCAATTCCATGATGCATGACAGTAATTTAACATTTAAAGTTATGCTGCATAGAGCCCAAATGCGTCATCGTAAATTAAATGTTGATCGTGTGGGTAAATCCCAACCACTGGCTGCTACATTATTAGATCTTTTGGTTGAGTTTATTGTATCACATTTAATGAAGAAATTCCCCATGGAATTGTATTTGCTGTGTGTTGGCGTCATACATCGTGTGTTGTGCTATCAAAAACGTTGTCGTGTACGTTTGAATTACCCCTGGAAAGAATTATGGTCTGCGCTAATTGGTTTACTAAGGTTTTTGGTGAATCAAGAACAAACATTGGTGAAGAAATGCAATATTTTCCATTTATCACTGCAGGTAGGGTGAATTAATTTTTGTATTTTATATAGGAAATTTAATTTATTTATTTGTTTAATTTTTAGGTGGTAAATATTTTCAATTTGTTTATAACATATGGCGATACATTTCTGGCAACCACAAATAGTTATGATGAACTCTATTATGAATTGAATCGGGAGGAGAAAGTTTTCACCGAATTGCATGCAATGGGTATGTGAAAATACTAATAAAAAACCTCAACTATTAAGAAGACCTAGTAAGAGGATATACGATTTAAATAACATTGAAAACAATATTAGAAAAACACTACTCAATAGCCCACAAGCCCCTAGGTATTGGTAGTTCTTGGAAAAATAGTTTTTAACCCCACGCCTTGGCAGTACTTATTTATAAATAGTATAGTATAATAGAAGGATATACGATTTAAATGTTGATAGTCAAAGAAATAATATTTTTTAAATAGTCATTCAAAATATTTAAAAAAACCAACGCTTTGATAGTCCTTTTTAAAAAATCCACGTCTTGATAGTCCTTTTTAAAAAATCCACGCCTTGATAGTCCTTTTTAAAAAATCCACGTCTTGATAGTCCTTTTTAAAAAATCCACGCCTTGATAGTCCTTTTTAAAAAATCCACGTCTTGATACTCCTTTTTAAAAAATCCACGTCTTGATATTCCTTTTTAAAAAATCCACGCCTTGATAGTCCTTTTTAAAAAATCCACGTCTTGATAGTCCTTTTTAAAAAATCCACACCTTGATAGTCCTTTTTAAAAAATCTACGTCTTGATAGTCCTTTTTAAAAAAATCCACGTTTTGATAGTCCTTTTTCAAAAAATCCACGTCTTGATAGTCCTTTTTAGAAAATCCACGCCTTGAAAAAAAATATTTTTTTAAATCCACGCCTTTATAGTCCTTGAAAAAATATATTTTTTTAAATCCACGCCTTTATAGTCCTTGAAAAAATATATTTTTTTAAATCCACGCCTTTATAGTCCTTGAAAAAATATATTTTTTTAAATCCACGCCTTTATAGTCCTTGAAAGGAATATTTTTTAAAAAATTCACGCCTTGATAGTCTATTGGAGGTCCTTGGACAAATATTTAAAAGTAAAGTTCGGCAATTGAAGGTATTTGCAAAATATTTAAAATTAATCCGGGCTTAATGAAGGTCCTTGAGGAATATTTTAAAGTAGTCCAGACCTATTGAAGGTCCTATGAAAAATATTTTAAAGTAATCCGCGATTGTTGAAGGCACCTTCAAAAAATATCTTTATCAAATTCATACCCATTGAAAGCACAATATTTCCAAAAAATCTACGCCTATTGAAGGTCCTTGGTAAAATATTTCAAAAATATACACGCATATGGAATGTCCTTTGCAAAATATGTTAAACAAATCCACACCGATTGAAGGTTCTTTAAAAAAATATTTTAGACAAATCCACGCCTATTAAAGGTCCTTGAAAAAATATTTTTGACAAATCCATACTTCAAAGACTATTTTAGACAAATCCACGCCTTTTCATGGTCCTTGAATAAATATTCAAGCCTATTGAAGGTCCTTGAATAAATATCCACGCCTATTGAAGGTCCTTAAATAATTATCCGCATTGAAAACATAATTTTTAAAAAATCTACGCATTGAAATTTTTTTTAAAAAAATCCACGCCTCAAAAAAATATTTTTTTTAAAAAATCCACGCCTTGAAAAAAATATTTTTTAAACAAAATTCATGCCTTGAAATGATATTTTTTAAAAAATACAGGCTTTGAATTTTTTTTAAATGTACGCTTCGAAGAAATGTATAATTTTTTTAATCAAACACCTTCATTTCTAACTAATCAATTTTAATTGTTTATTTTCTAGTTCTCCGCTATACCACCATGCCCGACTGTGAATATAAAGATGATGTCATTAAACTATTAAATGCCTTGGTGAATATTTTGGCAATTGTTAAACATTTTCAAAATAAAATCAAAGAATGGCTAGCCGAACAGGGCCTATCGACACCCACCGAAGAACAAATTCTCGATGTGGTGAGGAAAAATTACGATTTAACGCTAAAACTGCAAGATTCCCTAGATCATTATGATCGTTATGCGGAGGCACCACATCACACAACATTTTTCAAAACCATGGTACGAGACGTTGTGGCCGATACACGTAAACAAATCTATGGCTATGTTAAGGACGCTGTATCAACTATACCTGAACCCGATGCCATGTTAACATCAACATCCTCCAATTCGTAAAAGGTGTATATTTATATATATTTTTATCCCCTACTCATCAATTTGTTAAATTTTTTATGATATCCCCCCAAACCCCTTTATCATATAGTGAATTATCTTTAACGAAATGAAAATATGACTGTTTTTTATTATTATTCCTTTTCTATCTTTATGGCATATGAAGTTTACAATAATAATAATGATAATGTATTATTTCTCGTAGCTATTTAAAAATTATATTATATAATGTACAATAATATGTACGACTGTTGTCGCCTAAACGAAAACCTTAAGTAAATCACTTTGTTTTTTTATCTTTGATGCATATACATTTTTTAATAAAATAAATTTAGATAAAATTTGCAATTATATATAAACAAAAAATATTAGTAATCGTAAATATATATTGAGAAAATATACAAACAAATCTATTAACTACTAATAATAATAAATAAATATATTTATTTAAGAATAATTTAAAATTGAAATTTACATTTTTTGGTAAGGTAAGTTACAACGTAATTTTTCCAATAGCTGAACAAACTGAATCAATATTTTGTTTGTACAGTTGTTCGTCTGGGTAGTTAAATAAATTTAAAGCATATCTTAAGGCGCCAAACATTATTTGGTTAAACAGTTCTGTTGTAGTTACTAGTGTGCTTTTAAGTAACGCCTAAAAGTATGCTTTACTTTATACCGATTTCTTAATTTCACATTAGCAAGAACGTAGATATGTGGCAACATTGTTGCTATTTTGCATTTTGGAGAAAACCAAAAATCGCCGTTTTTCATTTTGTGGTACCAAGCGCCCAGAACTGCGCAGCAGCTATATTTTGACACAAGGTAAACTTCGAATGGCTATAACTCAGCAATGACTGGATGGATTTGGATGAAAATTTCTTTAGGTTTTAGCGGAAAATATGTAGTATTTGACTGAATTGTCTTTAAGGTCCATAGATGTCAAATTCATATAGATTTTTAGTTGTTTTTGAAAAGATCTTCAATGTCCTATAATTGGCTGAAATTTTGTTGGATTTTTAAAAAAAATGTATAGGTATATAAACGATATTAAGGAATTGTGGAAATTAACTGATTATTTTGATTTGGTTGAGAGGATTATATAGAAAAAAGAAAATATAAAATCATTACCAATCAAAAAACGTTTAAAAAAGAGCCATGCTTAGATATGAAACACGCTTGGAAAATAAATAAAAAACAAAGAATCTGAATGGAAGACTTTAAGAAAAAATATTTATAAGTAGTATACGCCTATTGAAGGTCCTTGGACAAATATTTAAAAGTAAATTTCGGCAATTGAAGGTCCTTGCAAAATATATAAAAGTAATCCGGGCTTAATGAAGGTCCTTGGAAAATATTTAAAAGTAATTCGCGACTATTGAAGGTCCTTGAACAAATATTTAAAAGTAAATTTCGGCAATTGAAGGTCCTTGCAAAATATATAAAAGTAATCCGGGCTTAATGAAGGTCCTTGGAAAATATTTAAAAGTAATTCGCGACTATTGAATGCACTCTGACCCACGCCTATTGAGGGTCCTTGAAAAAATATTTTAAACAAATCTACGCCTATTGAATGGACTTTGACCCACGCCTATTGAGGGTCCTTGAAAAAATATTTTAAACAAATCTACGCCTATTGAAGGCACTTTGACCCACGCCTATTGAAGGTCCTTGAAAAAATATTTTAAACAAATCTACGCCTATTGAAGGTCCTTGGCAAAATATTTTAATCAAATCTACGCCTATTGAAGGTCCTTGAAAAAATATTTTAATCAAATCCATGCCCATTGTATGTCCCTGGCAAAACTATTTTAAACAAATCCACGCCCATTGTATGTCCTTGGCAAAAGAAATCCTCGCCTATTGAAGGTTCTTGGCAACATATTTTAAACAAATCCACGCCTATTGAAGGCAATTGGACCCACGCCTATTGAAGGTCCTTGGCAAAATATTTTAAACAAATCCACGCCTATTAAAGGCACTTGGACCCACGCCTATTGAAGGTCCTTGGCAAAATATTTTAAACAAATCCACGCCTATTGAAGGTCCTTGGCAAACTATTTAAAAAAAATTTACGCCTATTGAAGGTCCTTGAAAAATTGTTTTAAACAAATGTAGGCCTATTGAATGCACTTGGACCCACACCCATTGAAGATCCTTGGCAAAATATTTTAAGAAATCTACGCCTATTGAAGGTCCTTGAAAAATTATTTTAAACAAATGTACGCCCATTGAAGGTACTTGGACCCGTGCCTATTGAAGGTTTATTGTTTAATATATGTATGTAATCGTTAAAAGTATATAGTTAAGGACATTTAAGTGATGACTGTAAAAAAATGTACGCCTATTGAAGGTCCTTGAAAATTGTTTTAAGACAAATGTAGGCAAAATATTTTAATGCAAATCTACACCTATTGAAGGTCCTTGGCAAAATATTTTAAACAAATCTACGCTTTTTGAAGGTTTATTGTTTAATACATGTATATAATCGTTAAAAGTATATAGTTAAGGACATTTAAATGATGACTGTAATTCCTTTTTATAAAAAAATACAATTATTATTTTTTTTATTTTTAAATTTTTTATTGAAGCTTTTGTTTTTTTGTTCTTGTTTGTATTTTGTAATGATTTATATTTATCTCTGTAGTGGAGTATGTTGTCGTATTGTAAATATGTATGTAATGTATGTATATATAGAATATAAATGTGTGAATAGTGTAGCTATATATAATATAATAATATTAATATTATTTTATAGGATTACAAACAAATTATAATTTTCTTTTTTTCTGTTTTGTTGATTTAACACGACGACGAGGTTTGCTTTTTAAAACATTAAAAAAAATAATAATATAACATTTAATTCATTTTGCGTTACATTTAAATTGGTTGCAATATTTTTTTTGTAATATTTAACCATTTTACAATTAATGAAATAACTAAAATAATGATAATCTTTTAAAATATATTTAAAGCATATATATAGTATTTATATAGGGAGAACATAAAAATATGAATAAAAAATTATTCGTTCGAGAAAGAACAGAAATAAACATTTAAAATGCTTACAAAATTAATTAAAACAATTAAATGAGACTACACAAAGAGAAATCAATGAAATTTTCATTGATTTGTGTGTGTGAGAAAAAAAGTTGGAATCTTAACGCAAAATTAATTTATATGTAATATAATTAATGTATGATGATAATAAAAACAAGAATATATATAATAAATTCAATAATTATAAATAATAGCAATAAATTATTTACAAAATACATGCGCTATATGTCAATAGGATTTGTTGCAAAACTTAAATTGTAAAATATTTAGCTTGTCGTTTTCCTTTCAAAATCATAGTATGGTTATCATTTCCTTTTGAAAGTCGTTCGTTTTTTCTTTTATGTAATTAAAGGGGTTTGGATCTCCCTTTTCTGTTTATCTGCTCAAGGCACAATTTATACCCCATGACATTATCATATCGTTATTGCGTCTATTGTTGAGTTGGTTTTTTTCTCATTTATGTTGTTGTCCTTTCTAATTTTTCCCCGTCTAATTTTTTTTGTAAAACTATAAAACAATTTCTGTTATAGATATTTACATGCAAATAATACATAGATTATTAATTAATCAATAATAAAAAATAACTTATACAAGTAATCTATAACTATATACTAATTATGTTTCTTGTTCTTGTTTAGAAATGATCTACTTTAACGGATACGGTATGGGCTGCCGCATTGCTGGGCAAATCAATATTATCCCATTCGGTATGTATATTCTTTTCACTATCGGTGGCTTTCAAGGCCAATCCCAATGATGTTGTTCGTCCGGCACAGTGTGGTATATTAAGGGTAACTGGTATTAAAAATTCAAGGCCTTGTGGGCCGCACATTACAAGGGGCGACAGCATTGTTTCACCTAGAGACAAGGAGGAGAGAAATAAATTATAATTAGTATTTTTTTTTTAAACAAAACATGCAAATTTTAATATTAAGAATTATATGTGTATGTGTGTATATTGTTATAAAAAAAATTAGTACAACTATTAAAAATAATATGAAAGGAGTACTAAAAAATGAAAACAAATAAACATGCAAACAATTAATGAAGGTTAGAAGCACCTGAAAGTATGCTACGTGATTACTTTTATAATACACTGAGAGATGCCTCAGTCCAACTTTTTTATATCGAAAAATGTCTCATTAGCAGAAAAAATGCTTCACTTGCCGGATTTTTTCTATAATATGGGAGCTATATCTAAATCTGAACCGATTTCAACAAAACTTGGCATATATCAATCTGGACCTAATTCAGCACTCTCTGCAAAATTTTGTCTCAATCGGACCAATATTGGCAGTATGGTGCTCCATTTACATAAAATCGGACAAAACCATATATATGGGAGGTATATCCAAATCTGATCCGATTTCAACAAAACTTTGTATACATCAATCTGGACATATGTCAGTACTCTGTGCAAAATTTTGTCTCAATCGGGGCAATATTGGCAGTATGGTGCTCCATTTACATAAAACCAGACGAAACTATATATGGGAGCTATATCCAAATCTTAACCGATTTCAACAAAACTTGGCATATATGAATCTAAACCTAATTCAGAACTCTCTGCAACAGTTTGTCTCAATTGGACCAATATTGGGAGTTTGGTGCACAATTTATCTAAAATCGGTCGAATCTATATATGGGAGCTATATCTAAATCTGATTCGATTTTCTCCAATTTCAATAGGGTTCGTCCTTGGGCCAAATAAGTGACATGTGCCAAATTTAATACAAATCGGATCATAAATGCGACCTGTATTTTGTCCACAAAAATACATGGTCGGACGGACAGACGAACATGCATAAATCGACTGAGAAGGTGATTCTATGCATATTCTCAAAAGGAAACATGGGTCTATAACATGTGACAAAGACATAATACCCTGTACCACAGTGGTGAAGGCTATAAAAATGCTTCATTTTCTGAGGTCGCAATTTTTTTTATATCAAAAAATTTGCCTATTTAACTGAGGTAAATTTTTGTATAAGAAGAAATGCCTCATTAACTGTGGACGAATTTTTTTCTTTGGAAAACTGCCTCATTAACTTAAGACGGATTTGTTTTCTCTTTAAAGTTGTCTCCTAGAAAAAAATCCTTATTTGCTAGAGAAAATTTTTTTATGTGGCAAAACGAAAAGGATCCAGCTGTCCTAGAAGGACTTTTACTGTTTATAGAAGTCCTCCATTATTGCTAGATAATCTAGATCTTCTATTGTGTATAGAGGACAAATAGGTCTTCCACAGTTTATAAAGGACCTATTGCCATTCTAATGTGCATAGATGACTTCTGTTGAATTCGGAGGACCTGTTGGTCTTCTACGGTCTATCGAGGACGTATCGGTTTTCTACTGTCTATAGATGACCTATAGGTATTCTACTGTCTATAGAAGACCTATAAGTCTTTTACTGTCTATAGAAGACCTATGGGTTATATTTTCTATAGAGGACCTATAGGTCTTCTATTTCCCAAAGAGGACATATATGTTTTTAGTGGATATAGATGACTTATATGTCTTCAATTGGCAATAGAGGGCCTATAGATCCTGAACTGGCTATATAATATGTTGATTATTTTAGAATATATTTGCTTATAAAAATATCTTTTTATCTTAAATATACATGCATTAGGTGAGTTATGTATGTGGAGATTAGTAAAAGGTCTATTTTTTAGGCATGCCAAAAAGTAAAATTAAAAAAAATATATATTAAATAAAATTATATTTAGTTATTAAAAAACCAAAGAAAAAAATAAAGAGATACAGAGAAAAAAACATCAAGTGGTATGCAAAATAAATAATATCGAACAAAAACAAAAAAATATACATTTTCATCTGTATAAATATCTGCATAAATATATATATAAAAAATATACAAAACTAAATATTAAAAAAATGAAATTTTTAATAAATGTGAAAAAATATAACAAAAGAATTTTTATTAAGTTGTTTAAAAAAATAAATAATAAGACATTAAAAAACATTTAAATTGTTAAGAAAAACATGTGTAAATAGTCAAGGAGAGAGAGACAGAGAAAATAATATTAGAGAGAGAGAGAGTAGTAATAGTAGTGTTGGTAATTGGGAGTGAAGTAGAGAATTTAAAGGAACAAACCATTTTCCATATCCAATGGTGGACCACCAACAGCCTGACCCATACGTGGATCACTAACAGTAAAATAGATTTCCTGTCGTACGCCGGGCGCAATGGCTCCCGGTGGTATTTCTAATGAAACATTCCATACATTATCGGCGAGTGTGCCACCATTTGAATCGAATATGCCACGGCAAGTGGTTGGCTCGCGGGGTTGCGTGGGGAATGATCCCTTGCCGGGTATAGAGGCTGCGGCTGGTGCAGATGTTGGCACGGGGCCAGCTATTGGCAATGACATATTACTTGTATATGGTGTGCTGGTGGCATTTGGTGGACCTACGGGCAGACTGGCTTGTGATGTATAATGTGTTTCAATTGAGGTGCGACTATCACTGATTTTTTTCAATGGTGGTGGACCCGTCCTTTTCAAAATATTGGAAATATGAAAAGGTGCCCGACTTGAACGTGGTGTCAGAGGCAGGGTGGGTTTTGGTGGCTCTAAGGGTTCTATGGGTGGTCCCTCCACCACCAGGGGTGAGGACACTGCCTGTGGTGTTTCAAAAACATCATCGGATATATCATGACTATCATTGTTCAAGGTATTCGCTTCAATGGCTGTTTGCTCCAGCATAGCCTGATTGTGTTTATTTTCAATTACCGTGGGCATTTCAGATCTATCAAAATCTTTGGCCTCTGTACCCTCCGCCTCTTCTAAATCATCTTCATCGTTTCTGGCCAAGGGTGCAGAGGTTGCGGCAGCAGCCTCAATTACGGTATCCGAAGATTTTTGTAAGTCTGTTACAGGACTCAAGGGTCTGGTTTCATGATTTATCTCCGCTTGGGTATTTATTTCCGTTTTACCCTCCTTCTTTTCATCGGTTTCATTTTCCCTCGATTGTAGAATACTTTCTTCCTTGGTTTCATATATGGGTTCCGGTCGACCCATATCTCTCTTAGAAACATATGATGGCTCTGCCATACTGTCTAGTGTTTCACGTCTTGTCTGATATATTTGCTCTCTCAGTTGAGCTCTGGTTTTTAGGGCACTCTCCTTAACTTCACGTCGTGTCTGATAGATTGGTTCTTTCTCGGATTTATCATCGGATTTTTCCGATTGACTACCACCACTTTGAGGGCTAAATTCCCTTTCCATTTCCCGCTTGCCTTGGGTAATGCGATCTTGCATTTCTTTTTTGGTCTGATACAAATGACTGCGTTGCATTTCACGCTGCATTTCGCGCCGAGATTGATAGACGGGTTCATGGATTTCGGCTTGTTCATTGGCTGCGCCGGGATAGAACCGTCTGCGTGACATTACCTCTGAATTGGGAGCCCGACGTTGATTATCCAACATGTAGGCTCCCTGTTTACTCTGATATATATCATCTTGTTCGTAATTGGCGGGCGGATTGGCTGGCATTAGAGGTCGCCGTCCCTGTGACCGATCAGCTGTTGTGGTACTATGACGTCTCATGATTCGTTTACCATTACGATTTTGGGCAGCTTCCATTTGTCTACGCTCCAAATCGATGCAAGCACGATTGGCATATATGTCATCCTGTTCGGCATAATTACCAGCAGCATATGGGTCATAGGAACGCTCTCGTGACATGCGATCTCGGCCGGGTACTGTACCGCCTCCTCCTCCCATATGGCCATAAATATCTTCTTCACCTAAATTCTGATAGGTACTATTCATAACATCCTGCTGTTGATGATGGTGTGGAGGATATGGTACGGTGCCATAATTATGTGGCACTTGATCATAATACTGATCCCCACGACCGCGCATGGCATTTGGTGGTACACTACGTCCACGACCACTGCCACCATAATATCGGTCTTCAAATCCTGCCGGATATGTGGGATATTCATCCGGGTAATAGGGCCTTTGCATGCCACGTTCTAGCATAGAATTTTGTCTACGCAGAGCCGATTTGCTTGGTTTCCTATCGGGATCGGACATACTGTTTATGCGTCGTAGCGGCCGGGTACTTTTCATAAATGCGTTTTTAATCGCCGTCAATGGTGATTTCAATACTGATTTCTTTTTGGTTTTATGTGGCAAGGGTGGTGGCATATCATTTTCATTGTAATACTGATGATGTGGATGTGCTGGAGGCAAAGGTGGCGGTGGCTGTCCACCATAATCATAATAATTGGGGTCTTGAGCGTGTGGTGGACGTTCATGTGGATAGCGAGGCGCCGATCTAGATCTAGGTGGTGGATGTTGTGGCGGCGGTGGTTGTTGCATTGCATAATAATCATCATAGATTTCTTGCTGGTCTTGATGGGGGTGGTGGTGTTGTTGTTCATATGACTCCATTTCGCTAAAGATTTTTTTATATATATAGTTGATGGGGTTTAGAATTTGTTTGGTATTTCATTTAGATTTTTGAAATAGGAATTGTATATATATTTTCTGGGAGAACATATGAGGGGATTGAGGGTATACCCTATGGTAAATTTTGTACAAGTATTGTGAAAAATAAAATTTAAAACAATTCATTCAACCTAACTTCAACTTGACACAATTTTGTTAATCTATATATCTATAATTCAAAAAATACTTTTATAAGTTTTCAATACTTGTACAAATTTAGTAACTAAACTTACAATCAATCATATAAAAAAATAAATAAAATAACAAATTCACAAAATATTCATTGATACATCCTAACCTTAAAATTTTTTTAATTGAATACTTATATTTGTTTTAAAAATCCGAAATTAAATACTTATATTTGGTTTTTAAAACAATAATTTTCTTTATAAGTTATCACATAACTTAAACAAAAACAAATTTGTATTTCTCACTTTATTTTGCAAATACCAATTGAATTAAGAAGAATATAAAGAAGAAGATTTTTATATTCGTTACCATACCATAACAACAGTGGAGTGGGAGTAGAAGGGAGTTAGCAAAAAAGAACCCGTAACCCATAACATATATGAAGATTCAATTAAACTAAAATTATATAATTTTATAGCTAGACTCGAGTAAAAAAATGGGTTAGTTTAAGAAAAAATGGGGGTTATTTTGGAGAAAATCTTAAAGAGACCAAAACCTTAGCAAATTCTTTTATTTAAAACTATAAATTAAATAAGTTTTTAATTGTATTTAATGGATCTGGTAAAGAAAAAAACTAGTGTAATATTAATGATTATTTCTTGTATGTATGTTTTTAAAAGTGTAAGAGTGTTTTTTTTTTTGGTTCAAATCATATTAACCCGAAAAATGTTTTATTTTCGTTTGATAAAAAAAAATCGATAATGAAAAAAAATAGCATTCTATTCAGATAAGGATTTTTTATTGTGATAAGGTATTTCACGATATTTTTTCGAAGTTTTAGAATATTTTAACTCTTTCTGTATAACTGTCAAGACATAGTTGTAGACAAATAAAAACTAAAAAATAGGATTGTCAAGTCAAAGGCAATACTTGAGGACGGTTATATGGCTAATTTTTCTAGAAATATCTATGCAAAATTTCGTGTTAATCAGATACATTTAGGGGCGTAACATCTTTCGTGCGCAATTTTCAAAACATCAGATGAAAATATTTATGAGAACTATGTCTACAACTAAACGATTTACATCAAACTCCGTATCCGGTATTCTATACTCAATTCAATAATCTATGCAAACTTGGGTGTCAATTAGACAGAGTAAGGGAATTATTGGGGCACTAATATATTTTTGAGTAGTTCTGATTATACTTGGGAGCTATATAAAATTCTAAACCGATTTTGATATACATTTATAACTTATGGATTGTCGAATTGATTATAGAATGGGGTGGCTATAAAAAATTCGACAATCCATATAGAATTTTATGACAATCGAACAAATGTAGGGTCCTTGATGGACCATTTAAATTAAATCGAACGAAAATATATATGGGAGCTATATCTTAAACGGAACTGAATTAAAAAAAAAACATAACACATTTTATTCTAGACTCAATTTGGAATGTTGTGCAATATTTCATCTCAATCGGGTAGAAATGTAGTCCAAACGTATGAATTAATCTAGGACTATTGAACTCATCTGATCTACATCTACAGATAATAACTTTTAAATACTTTCGAAACCACAATGTATTTTACGGACACATTATTGAGGACATTTTCCATTAGATTGTTTTGAAAAAAAAATGGAATTTTAAATTGAAATTACAATTTGCCAAAGTTATTTATAATCGTTTTAATTTCATTTAATTTTTGTTATACAAATACATTTTAATCCTTATTTGAATTTGAATTTTTTTTAGGGAAGCATTCTATTTTTTTTTCTATTGTTTGGTTATTGCAAAATAAAAGATATAACAAATTTTGTTTGTTTAAGTGTGTGTGTGGCTGATGAATAATAAATTTTCAATAATTATGGGCTATTGTTGATGAATGAAATCTATTTTTTTAATTTAATTTTTTAAATAATTTGGTAAAAAAATGTTTTTATCGAAACAAATGATGAACATATATATATTTTAGATTAAATAAAAAACAAAATGACAAAAACACTATGACCATTTAACCCGATGTTTTGAAGGAATGTTTGGCGGTTTTTCGTTCAGTGTTTAAACGACAACACAAATGACAAAACGATTTATCGATTTATGAAGATGTTATGTTATTAATAAACAAAAATAAAAACATTTTTCGTTAACACAATGTGAATAGAGAAGGGTCGATTGGAAATGGATATGGAGGACGAAATTAAGAAACAATTCGTTGTTTTGGAAATAAATTCCATGGAGAAAATTAAAAAAATATATATTGTTTGGCACTTACCTCATGTTGTGATGGTGTCCAGCTGTACCAATTTGTGGTTTACGATATAATTCAAATGCTGAACCCCGTTGTTCGCGACTACCAGCTAAATCTGAAGGAAAATTAATTTAATTATTTATTATTTGTGTAAAGGTTTTGGAAATGTATTGTCTATACATACCTATTGGTGGTGGCATACCACGATGTGGTGCTATATATGGACCGGTACCACTACCGCCATTATAATGATGCGTGGTGGCATTACCATTGTAACCATTTGCCGTTGGATATCCAGCTGGTGGTGGTGGACCATAATTATTATTTGTACCATATGTTGGCTGCATATTTGCATTGGCATGTGGAGATCCAGGCGTTTGTTGACCATAATGATGATGCTGCGGTGCCGGTGGATAATAGAAACCATTGGGTGAACGTGGTGAACCAGGTTCCTGAGGGGAAAAAAGAAAAATTTATTGTAAAAAAAATTAATAGCAGCAAATCGGACGAATATTTCGATTTTCGATCACATGAAACTCTCACATATGAGTTGCATGTGATTCAAATTATATGAGGTATCTATATCTAAATCTGCACCGATATAAATTAAAATTGACACATATTATTGTGCACTTAATTCGGAAGTCTATGGCAAATTTTAAGCCAAATGGACAAGCGCTGGAGCTTTGAGGGATCTATATTGTTTCTAGTCTAATGTCGGTGGCTAATGCTAAGAGCTTCGTGTCAATCGGACATACTTTGGGTGTTTGGTGCACCATTTACATAAAATCGAACAAAAGGTTTCGTCGCTGAGCTTCCCGTGTCAAATTTCATAACAATTGGAAAATAAATTCGATCTGCATTTTGTTAACAAAGCTACATGAACAGTCGGACGGATTTAATATAGAAGGTGACCTAACTTATATCCACAAGAATATTTATGGGCCTATGTTTCCTTTCGCATGTTCCATACAAATTCATAAATACAGAATATTCTCTAACACAGTGTAGTGGTATGCAGTTTATGGATGAGGGTATAAATAAGACCCAGCATAAACGATTGCGAGATCGGAGACTTTTTGAAATTTAGATTATGTCACAAAATAAAAAAAGCGTATATCCATAAGAATATTTATGGACCTATCTATCCTTTTGCATGTTCCATACAAATTCATAAATACAGAATATCCTCTAACACAGTATGGTATGCAGTTTATGGAGGATGTTATAAATAAGATCCATCATAAACGATTGCGAGATCGGAGAATTTTTCATATGTAGATACTTTCACAAAGTAAAAATATCCCCCTTAAAATTTCGAAGAAACAAATATATATTTTTAATAACTTACCTGATTTTCCCATTGATTCGGGCCCATGGCATTTCCAGAATTTTGCAATGGAGGACGATAATTTTTAGGTTTTGGTGGAGGCACAGGTTTGAATGGTCCTCCCGCTCCTGCTGCTGCTGCAGATTGTGGTCCAGCATTGCCGTTCATATTGCCATTGACATTTGGTGGTGGTATTACCATATGAGGCATACCCGGATTTTTGGGTATTTTATTGTAATCGGCTTGTGAGGCAGAGTTATTGCGACTGTCATGAACAAGCACGACAAATATCACAAACACAACAATAAAAAAGAACATTACAAATCGAGGATCAATGCGACATCAGGACGAGACATGACAACAAATGGATGTTCAGTTACAAAACATAAAAATAAAACGTTGTGGATGATGAGAAGAGGTGATGAAAAAGAGCAATACAAAAAATAAAACAAAACAATTAGAATTAAAATTAATTATTGTGAAAAAATCGAAAAAATATATGTTTGTTTATAAACTACAACTACAAAAAACAACATAAATGGAGTAAAGGAGTGAAGAGAAGACGCTGGACAATAGGTTTGATTTTTTTCTTCGAAAATAAAACCACATTTTTTTTAATTATTCGACAAAAAATGTTCGTAAATAATATTCTATATTTAATTGCATACAGAATTGAAAGATATAGACAGACATTACAAGTGGCGAATTATTATTTATTTTTAAACTAATGTATCGTAAATGGATATATTTTGCACAATGGGACGACGACGACTTCTTGAAACGCTACAAAATTGTGCTGGAGATGGTGTTGGAGTATAACTGGCATTATTCATAACATAGGCCGAGATTGGCCTTTGACAATTACGCCAAGTTATTTTAGAGGGTGGTGGCATGCATGATGGCATGGCACTACATTGTTGTTGTTGTTTTGTTTTTGTCAGGATATGTGAAGTTGTTGTAGATGGTGTTAAACGTTGTAGTGCCGTTGCCGGACAATGTATATGAAAGGGATGGATATGGAAGTGATATCTAATACGAATTTTTTTATTCAAGGGACGGACAACAATAACAACAAATATAAAAGAGAAGGTGGGAATATTTTTAATAAAACAAAGAAGAATAATTTGTTGTTTTATAGTTACGTTTCAATTGTTTTTTTAGATTTTTTTTAATTCAGTAGAGTAGAGAGAGAGAGAGTTGTTTGTTTGGTTGGCATGCAGTTAGTTTTTTGTTTGTTTAATAAATAAAAGAAAGAAAATAAAAGTAATTGAAATTATTTTTAAGTGGTTAATTTATATATACAAATTTTATAAAGAGAATAGTTTAAAACTAAATGAAATATTTTAAAAACTTATAAAATGTGAGAAATGATTTGCAGAAGAGATATTTAGAGGATAAATGTTGTTGAAAACTTACCTATATTTTCCATAATCGGTTTTGGTTTCGACTTTACGTGGACTGCCCTCAAGGCCCAAATTCGATGGTCGTTGGGGTGTGCCATTACGGGGATCTGGAAAATAAATATACATATAATAAATATAAATATTTTTCAATATATCAATTTAAAGAGGTTGTGTTCTGAGGTGTTTATGGTGTATTTGGCTTAAGGATGAACTGTATTGAAATGATATATATTGGACCGATTCAGTAAAATGGTACATCAAAGACCACACAATTGTCCGATTGACACGATATTTTGCATATACTACCTAATAGAAAGACACATGCCAAATTATCATTAAATCGGTAAAGAATTTAAGGTAGCTCCATCGTATTGGAATTTAATATAGCTCCCTCATATAATTAGCTTCGATTTCATGTAAATGGTTCACCAAAGTCCAAATGTTAACCCGAATTGAGCCTAGAATGACGTGCGCCAAGTAGCATTAAATCGGATGAAATTTTAATATAGTTCCCATATATAACATTGTCCGATTTCATATAAATGGTTCACAGAAGTCCAAATGTTAACCCGATTGACACGAAATCCGACTTAGAATATCGAATTGAGCCTAGAATGACGTGCGTCAAGTAGCATTAAATCGGATGAAATTTTGATATAGTTACAATATGTCCCATAGTCCGATTTCATATAAATGGTTCACCAAAGTCCAAATGCTAACCCGATTGACACGAAATCCGGCAGAGAATATCGAATTGAGTCTAGAATGACGTGCGTCAAGTTTGATTTAAATCGGTTTATATTTTGATATAGCTCCCTTATATAAATAGAGCCGATTTCAGGTAAATGGTCCACCAAAGACCCAATGTATGTCCGATTGACATGAAATTCTGCACAAAATATTAAACTGAGTTTACAATGACGTGTGTCTTAAAATCGGTTAGGATTTATATATAGCTCCGATTTTATGTAAATGGTGTCCATAAGCCCTAATCTTAACTCGATCGACATGAAATCCAACATAGAATACCAAATTGAGTCTAGAATGTCGTATGCCAGGTTTGCGCCAAATCGATTCACATTTTGATATAGCTGCCATATATAACTTTGTCCGATTTTATGTAAATAGCACACCGAAGCCCCAAATTTTAACCCGATTGACACGTAATCCGCCATAGAATACGGAAATGAGTTTAGAATGACGTGTGTTAAGTTTGATTTAAATCGGATCTGATTTTGATATGACTCCTATGCATAATTATGTTCGATTTCATGTAAAAGGTGCACAAAAGACTCAAAGCTAGTCCGATTGACATGAAAATTTGTACAGGCAACTAAATTGAAACTAGAATGACTTGTGTCATGTTTGGAATAAAATCAGTTCAGATTTTGACATAGTTCCCATAAATAGTTCGATCCGATTTGATGCTCTTGGTGCACCTAAGACCCTACAATTTGTCCGACTGACACCAAATTGTGAAAAACAGATTTTTTGAAAAGTAATATAAACCAAAAAAAATGTGTAAGTCGGTGTTGCCGACTGAGGTACACTCCTAGAGTATGGATTGCGGAGGTCTAAGGAATAATGTTTTTAGTGCCCGTATAACACTTTAATATTTGTATAACACTTATATTTATTAAATCTATTCACTTACCGATATTTCTTGCAGCATTCATATCATGATATGGTGGTCTACCAGGACTACTTTGACGATTTAGATCATTGGGACCGCCAGCATATTGACGATGATCGTGAGTGGTGCGGGCATAATCGGCTGTTTGGCCACCCATACCCACTGGAGGCAATGGACGTCCAGCACTAGCAAAATCAAAATATTACATTAATATTTATTTCAAAACAAAAAATGTGTGTGTGTTATTAAAACTTACTTAACATTTGGCACTGATTTGAGATCATCGGGAGCATTGGGACCCAAACGTCCCAAATTTTGCATGGTCAGTTGTGAGGCATTATATGAATCATAACTGGAGACACTGTCATAGCTGGAACCATTCTGTTGTGGTGTATTTATGGCAGCCGATGCTGTTTGAGGGACACCGGGTAATTTCGATTGTGAAGCGGCAGCATTCAATCTTGCCTGCCTTTCCAATGAGGCATGATGTCTATCCAAGGTGGTGGCATCACTGCTACCAGCTGTCGCATTTGCAGCATTGAGAGCATTTGCGGCATTCCTTGAAATATATTCCGCCTGAACATCATCACTAACAATGGCCTTGCCAAAGAGCCGCTCCTGTGCCGATCGACCCAATGTACCACCTGAACTATTCGAACGTGATGGTGTGTTTGTGGTACTGGGTGATGTTGTGACCACAATATCATTTGGACCTGGTTTTGATTGACGATCAATGCGTGGTGGTAGATCGGGGGCGTTAATACCATACAAAGACTGGGGGCGTGTCGATGGTGTTGAGGGATCAGAAGAATTAAGAAGATTAGAATTAGATGAGTAACCACCATATTTACTAGTGTCCATAGTTTGACGACGATTCGGTGGAGGCTGAGTAGTATTGGAATGATCAAAGGGAATCTAATGCAATAGAGAATTTGGAAAACAAAAACGAAAAAACAAAATACGTGATGTTAATACGAGATTAGTAATGATTATTTTTTGGTTACAATTTTTTTATTGAATTTGATTTCGATTTCTTTTTTATGGAATTTAAATTTAGGGAGGATATTGATTTTAAGCTTTTTTTTTTAATATTATTAGGGCGTTTTTTGTTATAACAAATAGAGTAACATGCACATACGTTGTTGTTTTTTTAAATATGCATATATATATTTGTATGTATGTGTAGTATGAAAGCATGTTTTGTTGTTGTTGTTGGGTTTTTAGCTGTTTGTTATTACTAGAGTTTATTTTGTTTATTACATAGTGCTACAAAACAAATTTCTTATTGGTATTATGGTTGGTAAAGATTCAAAAGTCTAGAGATGAGGCTCATTTTTTTTTTAAATGTTGGCTTCGATCGGCACGAAATCCGGCATGGAATGCCGAAATGAGTCTAGAATTACATGTGTCAGGTTTGACTTGAATTGGTTCAAATTTTGATATGACTCCAATAGGTCCGATTTCATGTAAATGTTACACAAAAGACTCAAATCTTGTCCGATTGACCTGCAATTTTGTACAACCTACTAAATTGAAACTAGAATGACATGTGTCAAGTGGGAATAAAATAATTTCAGATTTAGACATAGTTCCCATACACAGTACGATCCGATTTCATGTACTTGGGTGCATCTAAGGGCCTATAATTGACTGACATGAAATTTTGAGTCTAGAATGTTTCAAGTTTGATTTAAATCAAACTTTGATTTAGATAGGACTAACGTATATAAATCGGTCCGATTTGATATACATGGTGAACGAAAGTCCCAAAGTTTGTCAGGTTGATACGAAATCCGGCAAGGAATGCCGAAATTAGTCTAGAATTACATGTGTCAGGTTTGACTTAAATTGGTACAAATTTTGATATGACTCCAATAGGTCCGATTTAATGTAAATGGCGCACAAAAGACTCAAATCCAGTCCGATTGACCTGAAATTTTGTACAGCCTACTAAATTGAAACTAGAATGACTTGTGTCATGTGGGAATAAAATAATTTCAGATTTAGACATAGTTCCCATACACAAGTCGATCCGATTGCAGGACCATTGGTGCACCTAAGGTCCTATAATAGATAATTAACAAATTTCGTATAGTGATTATGGTTTGCAATGTTTCAAAACTCTAGAACTGAGGCTCATTTTTTGTAAATTGTTGGCTTTATGATGCCTCCAGAAGCTTTGAGGTTAGGTTTAATAGGAGTTTTTTATTTATTTATTTCGTTTTGCATATTGAGGTTATGTTAATTTTTTTTTTAATTTTTTAAGAGGAAATTGAATCAAATTCCCGATATAGTAATAATATATGTAATATCAACCTGTACTCTATTAAATATATAATATCGGTTTTTCTTATTTTGAGGTTACATTATACATGATGCCTTAAAAAGCTTTAAGGTTAGGTTTAATTCGATTTTTTTGTTTTTATTTAATTCGTCTTGCTTTTTGAGGTTATGGTGATTTTTTTAATTTTAAGAATAAATTGTTTTAATATCTTTCTCGTCTTGCTTTTTGAGGTTATGTTGATTTTTTTAATTTGAAGAACAAATTGAATCAATTCCCTGACATATAATAGAGATTTATTATATTTTAAGGTTATGCTTTTTGAGGTTATGTTGAAATTTTTAATTTTAAGAATAAATTGTTTTTATTTCTTTTTCGTCTTGATTTTTGAGGTAATGTTGATATGTTTTTAATTTTAAGAACAAATTGAATCGATTTCCTGGCATATAATAAGGATTTATTTTATTTTAAGGTTATGCTTTTTGAGGTTATGTTGATTTGTTTAATTTTAAGAATAAATTGAATCGAATCCCTGACATAGATGTAATAGGTTATGTTGATTTTTTTAATTTTAATTAAATCGAATCCTTGACATATAATAAGGATTTATTTTATTTTGAGGTTATGCTTCTTGAGGTTATGTTTAAATTTTTTATTTTAAGAATAAACTTTTTCAATTTCTTTTTCGTCTTGCTTTTTGAGGTTATGTTGATTTTTTTATTTGTAGAACAAATGAATCGATTACCTGACATATAATAGGAATTTATTTTTTTTTTTTTTTTGAGGTTATGTTGATTTTTTTTAAATTTTAAGAATAAACTTTTTCAATCTCTTTTTGTCTTGCTTTTTGAGGTTATGTTAATTTTTTTAATTTGAAGAACAAAATGAATCGATTCCCTGACATATAATAAGGATTTATTTTATTTTTAGGTTAGATTTTAGTATCTTGGGTATAAATTATCCACTTATAAAAATGTAATATATTTTTTTTAAATTAGAGTTTGAATACTTTGCCATTCGATTTTGAATTTTCATAATTTCTGTTTGTAGCACCTGTGTTTTATTATTATTGTTATTTGTTTTTATTGTTGTTGTTTATTTGTTTTGGGGGAGGAGAGATTTTCCGCTTACCGTATATGGAGGTGGTAATCCTTCACCAATTATGTCTCTATCCCTATCCAAGTTATCCTGATTTGTGGCAATCGATGGATCCGAATTGGATTTTACCAACTGTGGCAAATTGCCCAAAGATAATGATGTCGACGGGCCGGGACTTAATTCCAAATCAGATTCAGGACTTGATGCATACGACAAACGATTTGAGGTCATTGGGAATAGGAAGTCATCGGATAAGGACTCAACAGGCTTTAGGGTTGGGAATTCATATGTGCCGATATTTTGTTGTTTGGTTTGTCAGATTGTGTCAGAAATCCAGATGGGATAAGGATTTGTTAGGGATAAGGAAGGGGATGGGAGTGGGTGTTGTGGTTGTGTTTTTTTTTTCAAATTTTGAATTAATAAAATCGTGATTTTTTGAGGGAAAAGCATTAGTTTCAAAAAGGAATTCAATTAATTCAAATCAATTCAGAAAAAATAATATTGTAATTTCCAAAATTAAATAGCAACAAACGTAACGTAACGTAAATGTAGTTAAGAAATGAGAGTTGACGTAACGGAAACGGAATTAAAGGAAATGATCGCCAAAAAACACACACAAAAACAGGAGAACAAAATACGTTTGATTGCCAAGCATTTAATGTAACGTAAACGGAACGTAATAGCATAAATGTAACGTAAACAAAATAACATTTCAGATAAGGACGGACACAATGTAAAAATAATTTAATTTGTTTTTTTTTTTGCGGACAAAGACACAGGTTTTTGGATGAAAGGTTAGTTGAGTCGCCAAAAAATATAGGGAGGATAATGAATTGTTTTTTTGTTGTTTAAGCGGTTGATATAACGGGCAGGATATAGGGTATATATATGACCATATGTTTGTTGGTGATTGATTGTGAGATGGTGGTGGTGATGATGTTTGGATGGATGGATGGATGTTTCGATTGATTGTTGGTTGTTGTTTGATTTGTTTATTTGGGTGTATTTTCGAGATATATAAATAAAAGAAAAAAAAAGATGAAACGAAAAAAACAATTAAGTTAGCAACATTATTTTTTTTTAAACAAATTTGTAGATATATAAATTTTAAAATAAATTCTTTGGTTGTATTACATCTAATAAGAAAAAATTAGTTACAATAAATTCTAAAAGGATAATTTATATATAAAAAAATACATATTATAATGTGATGAGTTTTTTTTTGGGATATGAGGAGAGGGGGCGTGGGGGGTATTGTATAACATAAAAATAACTACTTGAACAAAATGCAGCATGCAACATTTAGGTATTAGTGTTTTAGATTTTTTCTTTTTATATTAGTTATATATACAATAAATATATAAAATTAAAAATAAAATTTTAAAGGATTTTTTTTTAAATATCGCTATGTTTTAAACAAAAAACGTCATGCTTGAAATATTGCAGGGGTGGAATTTTTGTTATAGAAATCATGTTCTTTGGTTTCAAAATATTTAATAATAAATTCAAATTAATAAATTTTTGAAAGTCATATGGAAAATAAATCTTACTGTGGCAGAGTTTTTTATAGAAAAAATTAGAACTGATTCTCAATGCCTAGAAGTTTAGGTCCGTTTTGTTTTCAATAGAAATAAAGCCTCACTACTTGGTGTCAGATTTTTTTCTATAGAAAAATTTGCCTCATTAAATGGAGGTCCGAATATATCTCATTAAGTTGAGATGCGGATTATTTTCTATTGAAAACAATACATCATTGAACTTTTTTAAGCCTAGAAATTTAGGTCCGTTTTTTGTTCTTGTAGAAATAAGGCCTCACTAATTAGTCCGAATTTTTATAGGACATTTACGTCCGATTTTTTTTCTGTAGAAATAAAGTCTCACTTATTAGTGCCAGATTTGTGTTCTATAGAAAATTTTGCCCCATTAAAAGGAGGTCCGAATATACCTCATTAAGGTGATATCGGGATTATTTTCTATAAAAAAAATATCTCGGCGAACTTGGGAGCGGATTTTCTTTTATAAAAATAAAACCGAATATACTTCATTGAGCTAATATCGGGATTATTTTCTAAAGAAAAAATTTACCTCAGAAAACTTAGGTCAGGATTTTTTTATAAAAGAAAAATTCCTCCGTGAACTGAGGCCCAGATATTCGGCTAAAAGCTAATTTGATTTGAAAAAAGTGTCGAAAATCACCAAAATATCGAATAATTGGAGGTACCGTCATATGTGATCGGTTCTGAAACTTGGTCCAATTTTTATAATTTTTCGTAGGATTTTTTTTTTTTTGCAGAATAAAATCAACAAAGGCTGGATTATTTCCTGATGAAGAAATTCCTCAGTAAGAGGATTTTACTACAGAAAAAAAATCCTTAGTAACTGAGGCCGGATTTTTTCCTGAAGAAAAAAATTCCTCAATAGCTAAGTTCGGTTTTTTTCCTGCAAAAAAAAAACCAATCGGAATACAATATATCAAATTAGAGCAAGTTCGGTTAAACTACCGAATAATGATTTTTTTTTGTGGTATTTTTTGTCCTGCAGAAAAAAAATCAGTAACAAAAGACGGATTTTTTCCTGAAGAAAAAAATGTAGTAATAACTGAAGCCGGAGATTTTACTGAAGAAAAAATCCTCAGTAGCAGAGGCCGGATTTTTCCTGCAGAAAAAATTCCTCAGTAACAGAATTTTTCCTTCCGAAAAAATTCTCCGCAAGACAGGGGTATTTTTTTTATAAAGAAAGTAGAGAGATTTTCTATCCAATAAGACTCCAATAGGAACATTTAGTACCCAATTCCGGAAGATAAAGTATGGTAGGATTTTATTTCCTCAGTAACTGAAGCCGGATTTTTTCCTGTAAAACAAAATAATATGTCTCAGCAATTGAAATCTGATTTTTTCCCATAGAAAATGCCTCTGTAAGAGAATGTTATTTTTTATCAAAAAAAAAAAAAAAAAAAAAAAAAATAAATCCAGACCTCTGAAAAAAATATTTGCCGGACCCCGAAAATTTTCACATGATTTCCAACAAACAAAAAATTTTTCCCCTGCATACATTTCATAATTTTTTTCAACACTGAAAAAAATGTTCCATCGAACTTATTCAAAACATTTCTCTCATGCAACATATTTTTCATTCGGATAATTAGGATGATGACTATTATTGTTATTATTGTTGTTGTGGTTGTTGTTGTTGCTTTTGTTGCTATTGTAAATGTTTGAATTACTGGCATGTAAAGAATGATGCTGGTGGCTGCTATTGCGTTTTGCCGTGGCCGCGGACAAATGTAATGACGAAGTCGATGACGACTGTAATGGTATGGAGGAATTCGAGCTTAAAACATTACGAGTAGCTGGTATGGGATTCGATTGCGGGATGGCATTGCTATTATAATGGCCACTATTCGTATGAGGTGGTATATAGCCTAAACTATGATGCTGCTGGTGATGATGCTGTTCATCATCAACCAAGGTATTGGCACTACTGCTATTCCCGTTCGTGTTGTTGTTAAGTAAATCATTTGACGAATGATGTGCCGACGACGAATTACTATTGAACAATGAATTACTACTTAGTATTAGATCATCTAAATTTTTACGAGTTGCCTTGAGAACATTATCCAGGCTGCCATTAAGGGAGGCTAGATTTTGTTCATTGGAGGAGGAGCCGCCCCCGCCACCACCCATCATTGACAACTAACCGCGAATGTTTGATGTTGAATGATTTTGTCCACCACCACCATCAAAATCATTGGCCTCGGTTGTCGATGTTGTGATAGGTGAGTTGTCGGCATTTAATAAATTTAAATCGGAATCAAAAACTGCCGATTTTTGCATTAATTCATGATAGTAATAGGGGGTGGTACGTGGCTCTAGATTTTGTTGACGACTATTATTGTTGTTGTTGGTGTTCGTGTAACGTAAACCTTGATGACCACCGCCGCCGCCATTATTACTATTACTACCATATGAATTCAAACCATAACCTCCTGACCTATTTTGCATTGCCGAATTATTGGAGAGATTCGAAAGTGTGGATGAAGCCAATGTGGTCGAGGTGGTTAAATTTGAATTGGATACATTATACGATTTTGAGGTACTACGCGAATGACTGCGATATGGTCGTTGAGGCATTATAATTTCCGTTTGAGAACCACGATATTGTGAGTCTCCCAGACCACCACCACCGTCGGTGAGGAGTCCCTCATCGCTACCATTTATCGGATCATCTTTAAACGAATAATTTGAATTTGGTAAACCATTTGGCATTGAGGAGGATGGTTTGATAATTTGGGGTGGTGCGGGTAACATTTCATATGATGTAATACGCTGTTGTTTAGGTAATTCATTGTTCATAGTTGTCAAGGCATCCGGAGGCCTAGGTGGTATCAAGTCATTACAATCATCGTCATCGTCTTCGTCATGATAGTCCGAATGTTGTTGCGCATGGCGATTTCGATTAAAGTCATGTCTTGTTGTGTTAAATGAATTATGTCGCTTGACAGATGATGCCGCCGCCTTATTGACAGCGACAGCGGGACTAGCAGCAGAACTATTATTGGCAACACTTAGGCCAGATGCATTACTATAACGTGGCACCGATGACGACATGGGTCGACAACAGGGTAATTTACATGGTTGTGCTATATAGGGAGGGAATATCATTTCGATTTGAGGATCGGGTATCTGTTTGATTTGTGTTGAGGGCGGGAAAATAAACAATTTTTCCGATTTCCATTGTTCACAGTTTGGTGGGGAGAAAATTGTGGATTGGAGGTGTGTTGGGCGGGAAAATTAAAAACATTGTTAAAAAAAAAGAAGTTTTGTTAGAAAAATTTATTTAGACCTGTAAAAACCTAATCAAAAAAAGCTAATGGCAGCCTAAAAGTATGCTATAAATATAGAAATATTGCCTAACACTGCAAAATACTTAACAAGGCTTTTCATTAGTTTATTTAGTTTTTGTATAGAAAAACTCTTAGGACTGTAGGACATTTTTTCTTTACTCAGTACCTGATGAATTTTTTAAGAAAAAAACAATGCTTAAGACCTGAGGATTTTTTACTTCTGTTCTCAGGGTCTAAGGATTTTTTTACAGTAAAAATATCCTCAGGACCTGAGAATTTTTTTCAGTAGAAAAAACTATGCTCAAGACCTGGGGAAATTTTTTTCTAAAGAAAAAAACTATTACCAGGAACTGAGGAATTTTTATCTCCAGAAAAAAACTATCCTCGGGAACTGAGAAAAAATTTTTTTTTTTTCAAGAAAAAACTATCATCAAGACCTGAGGAAATTTTGTTCTAAAGAAAAAAACTATTCCCAGAAACTGAGGAATTTTTATCTCTAGAAACAAACTATCCTAAGGACCTGAGAAAATGTTTTTCTCAAGAAAAAACTATCATCAGGACCTGAGGAATTTTTCTTCTAAAAAAAACTTCAGGATCTGAGGAAACTTTTTTCTTGAAGAAAAACTATCCTCAGGACCTGACCTGATTTTTTTCTGAAGGAAAAACTATTTTCAGGATCTGAGGAATTATTTTATTTTTCTAAAGAAAAAACAATCATCAGGACTTGAGGAAATAGTTTTCTAAAGGAAAAACTATCCTAAGGATCCGAAGATTTTTTTCTAAAGAAAACAACCATTCTCAGGACCTGAGAATATTTTTTCCCAAAGAAAAAACTATGCTCAAGACCTGAGGAAATTTTTTTAAACAAAAACTATCCTCATGACCTGAGGAGCTTTTTTCTTAAGAAAAAACTACTCTGGACATGAGGATGAGGTCATGACTATCCTCAAGACCTGAGCAAAGTTTTGTTTTAAGAATTTTTTATAAAAAAAACTATCCTTTGGACCTGTGATTACTTTTTTCTATAGAAAAAAATCCTCAGTAGATGAGGTGACTTTTTCCTATAAAAAAATTCCCCAGGGTTACTGGGGTTACTGTTTTCTATACAAAAAGATTTCCACAGGACCTGAGGTTACTTTTTCCTATAGAAAAAATCTCCACAGGACCTAAGGTTACTTTTTTCAATAGAAAAAAATCCTCACGACCTGAGGTTACTTTTTTCTATAGAAAAAAAATCCTCACGACCTGAGGTTTCTTTTTTCTATAGAAAAAATTCCTAAGGGCATGAGGTTACTTTTTTCCATAGAAAAAAATTTCCTCAGGACCTGAGGTTACTTTTTTTCTATAAAAAAAACCTCCACAGGACCTAAGGTTACTTTTTTGTATAGAAAAAAATCCTCTCGACCTGAGATTACTTTTTTCTATAGAAAAAATACTCAGGACCTAAGATTACTTTTTTCTATAGTAAAAAAATCCTAAGGACATGAGGTTACTTTTTTCTATAGAAAAAATTTCCTCAGGACCTGAGGTTACTTTTTTATAGAAAAAAAAATTCCTCAGCACCTGAGGTTACTTTTTTCTATAGAAAAAAATATTCCTCAGGACCTGAGGTTACTTTTTTCTATAGAAAAATTTCCTCAGGACCTGAGGTTACTTTTTTCTATAGAAAAAAAATCTCCACAGGACCTGAGGTTACTTTTTTCTGTAGTAAAAAAACCTCAGGACCTGAGGTTACCTTTTTCTATAGAAAATAATTTCTTCAGGAACTGAGGATAGTTCTTTTTCTATAGAATATAGAATACAAAATAAAAACTCCTCAGATTTTTTTGTTAAGAAATTACGAAATCTGAATATTTTTCTTCATACACTAATTTGGAAATCTAAAAATCATTGCCTATTTAAAGGGATATAAAAAATTATTTTAAATATCCATGGAGGATAAAAATCTGGAAAAGATCTAACTTTTGTTTGACAAAAATTAAATAAATATATTAATAACTTTTTTAATATATGTATATATACACAACATCGATATTACTAGTTCTTTATGACATGCCAATATATATAAAAATTAAAAAAAAATCCATTAAAAAAAAATAAGAAATAAAAAAAAATAAATAAACCCTTCACCAATTGAGTTAAGACACTACAAAAATTAAAAAAGACTACCATTTATAAAAACAAAAAAAAAAATATTTTTAAATAATTTTGTAAAAAAATAAACAATATAATAAATAAAAAAATCACACGACGACGACATTCATATAGACGACATCTATATTTCTATATATATATACGAAATAAAATAAAATAAAATAAAAAAAACAAATAATAATAAGATATTATACATTACAACAACATACCTTAGTTTCTGACATCCATACAGCACCGCTCTGTTGCAGATCAATGGCATCACGTAATTTACGATACCAACTTTCCTCATCGTTGAGAACAATGTGTGTACTAAAGATATGTGACCACACCCGTTCCAATTTCTGGCATTGTTCCAATAATTTCTTCGAACTTTTATGTGCCGATTTGGGCATACCTTGACGTAGCTGTTTGATAACATGTTTACTATCGGTCTTTTGGAATATAACAATCGGATAGAATTGGGCATAGTTGAGACGATCCACAGCATTGGGTGTTATATCGAGTAGGGCATGTTTTCCTCGATCCATAACATCACGTATATTCGATAGACGTACAATGCGACATTTTGAATTTGTTGTCTTATCATCATCCTGCAGTGGGGTACAGAATTTATCGGGATAATCTTTAGCTAGCTTTTCACGAGCCAAATCGGCGATGGGACCGAATATGACAACGGGTCGTACAAAACCAGGGTGGCGTAGAACAACACGTTCATAGGCTGGGAATTTGGAAATGCTATCGGAGAAAACAACATCGTCCCAGTTTTCACGTGACAAACTCTTGGAACGGCGATGGGTGGATCTGGAAAAAAAAATAAAAAGGGGAAGTTAGTATTGTAAAAAGTGGGGACTTGTGGAAAAATTCCTTAGGATGTGAGGACAGTTCCATAGAATAACATTTCCATATAGACCTAAGGAGATTTTTTTATTTTACTCACCTCCTTCGCCGGAAGAAATTACCCCTCGATTCGCTGGCATTCATCTCCTTCTTGGTCGCATTAAATTGTGCCGTTGCCAATTCCTCGGCACGCGATTTATTCGGTATAACACCACGTTGCATTTCCTGATGCCCTCGGCCAATTTTCAACACTTGCCACGAACCGACCACACCATTATGCAACGTATCAATTACACGGAAGACATCACCAGCTTTAAAAGCCATTTCACCTTTAGAAGGATTATCGCAATGGAAATGTGTTTTAATGTGGAACGAATCACCACGCTGATTATTCACCACCTCGTCGTATTCCTCCTTGCAGTATTGGACAATCAAATCGATACGATCCTGCAGTGAGAGTAGGAAGAGTACAGCTTCTTCACGGGTAACACCCAACATATCCATATCATTGACTTTGAGGATTTTATCGCCGGGCGTTAGACCTTGCAGAGAAGCTGGTGAGCCTGGCTGGACGGCTGTAACAAAAATGCCAGCCTCATTGCCACCGGTAAGGCGTATTCCAACACTACCCTCCTTTTGGAATGATATAAAACGTGGCTCGGATGACTGTCGGGATCTGGTCAAGGGATCATCTTCATACAATTGGCGTCTTGAGCTGTAGAAATCTTCTCCGCCATTAACAGCACCTGATCCGCCAGCGCCTGCTCCTCCGCCGCCAGCTCTTGGTGGTGGTGGCCTAGGGGGTTCATCAATACGTGAACGACCACCACCATTTGTGGGTGTCACAGGTCTATCCAGCTGCTGTAGAGAAACACCCTCCATTATGGGACCCCTTGATCTACCACGTGGCGTTAAATTACTCTTCTCATCATTCAAGCCACCATTCATGGGACCATTATTCGAGGTCCTTGTGGGTGGTTGCACATAAAGATTCTGAGACGAATATGTGGCACCACTATTCAGATAGGGGTCATCTAAATTATTGCTACAATTCGATAGCTGAGGTTGATGCGTACCATAAATGTTGGCCTGAGCTGCTGCGGCTGCAGCACTGGAATTATTCAATTGATTGACGACGGTAATCGGTGGCTGATTGGTTATATCACGTAAAGCTACCAAATTTAGACGTTCCTTACAGCCATCAATGATCTTTTTGGCTTCTTTCAGACTCATCGTATCGGCACAATTGGTATTGTGGATGCGGGTGATAATGTCACCCTCTTGCAGCGAATATCCATTGGCTGCCAATTGATCACGAGCTTTTGAAGAGATCTCCTTGACGAAGAGACGACAACCGAGAACAATGCCAAAATCTTCTTTTTTACTATTTTTTGTTAGGGTCACTTTAATGGGTTGACCCATACCGGGACCATTGGCCTGGATCAGAGATGAATTTAAAGAATTTGGCTGACTCATGGCTGTGGTAGGATTGGGCGGCACCACCATCGAATTGATACCATTCGTCTGTGGCATAGAATTTAAGCCATTCATGTTGTGTTGTTGTTGGTGCTGCATTTGTTGTTGCTGCTGTTGATTTGCTACGACTGTATTGAGTGGTACACGACGTTTCACCACTAATGTTACGGTATTACCACTGTCACGTAAAACTTGTACAGCTGTGGCGTATTCGACGTTCTCAAGTGATACACCATTGACGGAAATAATGCGATCATTGACTCTGTAAAGAGGAAAAGAGGGAGAGACATTTTTAATTGGGCTTTCTATGGGCAATGATAATTAAATAAGAGGATTAAAAATGAAAAAAAATCTAAGGGTCTCCGTGGACTGATTTTTTTTTTAATATAAACAAATTCAGAAGAATGTCAAAACCCTGATGAAGATTTCTATATACAAAATACATCCCTAGAGTATGGTGATTTTTTCTATATAAAAATCGAACTTCGAGATCGGAGATTTTTCTTGTAGAAAAAAATTAAATGTATTCTCAGGGTCTGAGGATTTTTTTCGGTAGAAAAATATATCTTCAGGGTCTGAGGATTTTTTTCTTTAAAAAATGTTTTCTCAGGGTCTAAGGATTTTGTCTATAGAAGAGTGGATCATCAGGGCCTGAGATTTTTTTTCTATAGAAAAATGTATCTTCAAGGTCTAAGAATTTTTTTTTTTCGATATAAGAATGTAACCTCAGAGTCTGAGGATAAAAATGTATGGTATAAAAATGTGTCCTCAGGGTCTGAGGATTTTTTCTACGGAAAAGTTTATCCTTATGGTGTGAGGATTTTTTTCTATTGGCAATATGCATCCTCAGGGCCTAAGAATTTTTTTCTTTAGAAAAATGTATCCTCAGGGTCTCAGAATTTTTTTTCGATATAAAAATGTAACCTCAGGGTCTGAGGATTTTTTTGGTATAAAAATGTATTCTCAGGATCTGAAGATTTTTTTCTATAAAAAATCTATCCTCAGGGTCAGAGGATCTGATAATCGAAAACATTTTCTATAGAAATTATTTATCGATAATCGAAAAAATTTTCTATAGAAATTATTTATCGATAATCGACAAAATTTTCTATAGAAATTATTTATCGATAATCGACAAAATTTTCTATAGAAATTATTTATCGATAATCGACAAAATTTTCTATAGAAATTATTTATCGATAATCGACAAAATTTTCTATAGAAATTATTTATCGATAATCGACAAAATTTTCTATAGAAATTATTTATCGATAATCGACAAAATTTTCTATAGAAATTATTTATCGATAATCGACAAAATTTTCTATAGAAATTATTTATCGATAATCGACAAAATTTTCTATAGAAATTATTTATCGATAATCGACAAAATTTTCTATAGAAATTATTTATCGATAATCGACAAAATTTTCTATAGAAATTATTTATCGATAATCGACAAAATTTTCTATAGAAATTATTTATCGAAAATCGACAAAATTTTCTATAGAAATTATTTATCGAAAATCGACAAAATTTTCTATAGAAATTATTTATCGAAAATCGACAAAATTTTCTATAGAAATTATTTATCGATAATCGACAAAATTTTCTATAGAAATTATTTATCGTTAATCGACAAAAATTTCTATCAAAATTATTTGTCGATAATCGACAATAATTTCAATAAAAAATTATTTATCGAAAATGGACTAAATTGTTTATAGAAGTTATGGGAGCCTTTTCGATAAAAAATTAAACCTTCAGAATCTGATAGAATTTTTTATAGTCAAAAAAGGTTTGAGAATTTCTGTTTATAGAAAAAAATTCTATGCTGAACTGCTACACTTTTTTTTAATAGAAAATAACTTCCCTGGTCATGAAAATATTTTTTTTGTCCCACAATTTGATTTTAAAAAGCAATGCTGTCTCTCCAATGACAAATCGAATATTTGTGTCATATTTTCTTATCAGACATTTCTCAAAATCAAAAAAAAAATAAATAAAATAAAAAATATATTTCGATATTGAACACAGCATTCATAAAATTAAATCCTCTTAATTATTTTCAATGAAGCATTGGAAAAAATATTATTATTTTTTTTTTTTTTTTGTGTTTGAAAAATATGTCACATTGTAGTACCACCATCATAACACACATCATTAATAAAGTACGGAAGCGTAAAGTCGGAGATGATGATGATGATGCGTAACACCAGAGCCAGACGACACCAATTTGGCTGTGCGTTAACGACCATGGTATGGTAAATTAAGATAACAGTCTCATTAAAGAAAACAACAAATAAATCTTCAAATACCAATGTTCAGGTATAAGTACTGCTTACAACATCTTACATCGACATTGCTACCTTTTTTTGAGGTTTAATAATTGTGTAATTAAAGTCTATATAAGTAGGTGTAAGTATGATTGAGGTTATGATGAACATATTGTTACCGGGAGAGTCTTATCATTTTTTTTAAGAAACGTTTACAAATAAATGATGGAGATGATAACGGAGTTTCTTTTCAATAATCTGAAATGGGCACACAACACTTTGGGTTTGAGTGGTAGAGGAGGGAAAGAGGTGGAAGCTACAATTCAAAGCGATACGTCAATTTACAAAATATTATAAAGAGACATACAAATATGTCAATTCTATTAAGGCTCTGATAACGAAGCCGAAATTTACATTAATAATCAGGATCATATTTATTTGGAATACGCTTATAATACCGATTTATTAAAGGTTGGGGATGGAAATATAGCAAACAGTTTGAGAAATATAACAAAAATGTTTTTCTATATAACAAAAAAATCCCTGTCTGTTTAATATCATCCACTGAGATATGATTGTCACAAGTCACGTGTGAATGTTTGTAAAAATCCCCTTCCCCAGAATCACACTGCATTCCTTTGAGAGCTCTATTTCCGTTTAACATTAAGCCCAAACATATCTTAATCTGTTTCTTATCTCAATGGACATTGCGTGTGCACTAAATAAACCTCGAACTACGTATTTTTTGTTTTTGTTTTTTTTTAATTTCTTCATCTCTGATATTCCGTGTTTACTTTCTTTTGGAATTTTGTCTTTTTTCTTGTTTCATTAACGTAAGACCAATAATACGCTGTGTAAACATTAAATCGAAATATCTTCATAGATAAGCAGTTTGTTAAATTAATTAAATATCAAAGACAACAGTTAAAAAAAAGGGGAGGCTTGAAGTGGTAAGATATCGTTGGGAGAGCATAAAATGAACATTTGTTGTTATTACTACCTTCATAGTAAATCTGAAATTTTTTGAGATTAAAATATAAATAAGGGGATATTAAAATATAAATGGTTTGATATATTTTCAGAAAAATAAAAAATATTTTTTAACCGACATTTCTATAGGATGATGGAAAAATCCCTTTTCTACCCAAGATTTTTAGGATATTAAATTTTCTCAAAATGTTTTAAGAAGTTCGGGAATCTTATATGGTGACTATATCAATATAAAATTTCTGCTAGTGGGTTGTATAGAACATATCGCTCATTTGCTGCAAGACCGGCACAACTCAAAAAAATCGATTTTGCAGAAAATGCGTTTAGGCAGGGAGCGCAAAAATTCGCTCGCGAATGAATGAAATAAAATTTATGGCGATAAATTCTTTATCAAACGAGCATATGTTCACTCATAATTCAAATTGTACCAAATTTAGTACACAGTAGTACGAATTTCTAAAACCTCATTTTTTCCATAAACCTACACCCCCAAAGTGATCCTAAATCCAAGTTTCAGGGTTCCAACTCTATCGGTTCACTCACAATTCAAATTGTACCAAATTTAGTACAATTAGTACCAATGAGTACATAGTGGTACTAATTTCCAAACCTTCCTATATACCCCAATCCCACACCTCCACACTGATCCTAAATTAAAGTTTTAGGGTTCTAACTCTATCGGTTCACTCACAATTCAAATTGTACCAAATTTAGTACACATTAGTACAAATTTCTAAAACTTTCACATATCTCAATCTTACACCTCAACAGTGATCCTGACTCCAAATTTCATGATTCTAGCTCTATTGGTTCACCTAAAATTCAAATGGTACCAAATTTAGTACCATTTAGTACACAAACGAATTAATTTCTTAAACAGAATCCTGACCCCATTCCCACACCCCATAGTGATCCTGACTCCAAATTTCATTGTTCCCGCTCTATTGGTTCACCCAAATCCAAATTGTACTAATTATAGTACGATTTAGTACTTTTCGTATACATAAGTAAAAAATTCCAAAACTACGTACATATCCCAACCCTACACTCCGACGGTAATGTTAATTCCAAATACCAGGATTCCAGCTCGATTTGTATCTCCAAATTAAATTTGTACCAAATATAGTACCATATTGTACTTTTCGTACACATGAGTACACGCTTTTATAACCATCTACCTAAACCGACCCTACATCTCAAACCCTATTCGCATTCCAAATTTCATCCATACACACGCTACGAAATTGTACCAAATTTAGTACATTTTAGTACTTTTCGCACACTTAGAGTTCGAATGTCCAAAAAAAAACCTTTGCTATATCTATTCTACACTCCATCAGCGGCCCTCATTTAAAATTTAAGATTTCGGTTCGCCAAATACAAATGGTATCACATTTAGTACTTTTTACTTTTCTAGTACGAATTTCAAAAACCCCAGCCTTATCTGTCACCTTTGAACCAAGAGTGACCCTCACCCAAGATTCTAGCTTCAGCCGTTTCGTCTGGGCGTTGATGAATCGTTAAATCAGTCAGTCAATCACTTTACTCTTTTATTAGTATAGATTATTTATCAGTTCCCACTAAATTATCCCAATTTCTCTTTTAGTACTTTACGTAAAATTCCGAATGTCAATGACTTGACAAATGAACAACAATTGCACATCCAAAACTATTTTTGTCGAATTTCCGGTTATCTTAGAACAATCAAAGAACGATCAGTTGACAAATTTCAAATAAATATCTCCTGGCTGTTAACACCCACGTTTAATAGGCTGTGACTGATATGTCGGCAAAAAGGCATAAAACGTGCTTAATGACTCGTTTACTTCCTCTCTCTATCTCCCTTTTTCCACACTTTACACAAAAAGGAAATAGGGAAATTTTCTAACAACAAAAACAACTAAACATAATAAAATACAACATATGTAAATACAAAAAAAAAAAAGAGAACACTTGTGTGTTTACAAAAGAGAATGACAGGGGAAAAAAACGAAGGAAAACATCCTAAGACAAATTTTGAATATTTGGAAAAAACCGAGATTTGTGTTAAGAAGAACATGTGTGAAGGATTTCTTCAGTTTTCTATAAATTCAAGGAAAAGAAATCATAAGGGAATTTTTTAACTGTTTACAAAAAAATGTTGGAAGTTTTTAAAATGAAACATGTGTGTGCGGAATTTCCCTTATCCAAATGTTCCTCAAGTGATTTAGCAATTTTTCTATTTCTAATTAATTCTTATTTTTCAATTTTTATTTTCTTTTCTACTTACTGTAAACGATCCTCAGCGGGTCCGCCTTTCAAAACATCTGATACGGCAATTGAAGGATCACCGTTAGCAAAATGGGGATTATCACGACCACCGGAAACGGCAATACCAAAACCATAGCCCGGCACACGAGTTACCGAAACTGTGTGATATTCCCATGTTGTACGATCACCCTGTAAAAGAGAGAGAGAGAGAGAGAGAGGGAGACAAGTTAGAGAAAGGAAGGAAATTAATAAAAAAAATATTCGAATAAAAAAATTACAATTTTGTAACATAAAAAGAAAAATTATGATCCAATGAATATCTTAAAAAAATATTTAAAATTAAGACTTCATAATAAAAAATCGTGCGTGAATTAAATAACCGGAAATGCAGCAGGTAGGTAGTAATTTTCAACATTTATTTCCATATGAATAATAAAGTAAATAAAAAAGAGAAAAAAACATAAATGAAATACGTGTTTTTGATGTAATCTTTTTGGTCTTTTATCTATTTGGAAGGTGGCAAATAATGAAGATTGGAGAGCGACCAAAATGAATCACCAACAAGTGAAAAAGCGGTAAGTTCGGCCGGGCCGAACTTTGGATACCCTCCACCATAGATATATTGACAGGTACTATAAATGAAAATATAGGGAACATACCAAAAAGTGCACCTATACCGACATTTCTAAAAACAGATTATGTAAACCATAATACAAATTTTAGAAAATTTTAAAGGATAATTATACCCTCAGCCTTATGGCTAATTAGTGTGTATACACTTTCACACGGTGAAAATGTGCCTCATCGAAATATTGGTTCTAGACCCCATGTTTCTTTGGACCAAATCCGTTTCAGAAAATTTAGATTTCATCCAAACTTTGCCCATCTTATTATTTCTTCCAAACTTAGTTCAAATTCGAAGATGGGGAATATCGGTCCACTCCTTCTGGAACCTCCAATCAGGGGCTAGGTCTAAATGCGGCTATAGTTCACTACCGAACCTTACGTTCTAATTTTTTATCTCTCTATCCTCCGCAGTTGAAATGATTACAAAAGGGTCTTAGAACCAAACCCAAAACGCGCAACAAATCCGATAAAAATTTTAATATAAAAAAGGGGGTATATGGGGACTACCCCAAAAAGGGGGCGAATATTAATAATTTTTGGTAGGGAGATTTGTTACCATATACGCCTACAAAATACCAAATTGCAGCAAATTCGGTTGAAAAAGGCGCTCAATAACCCCAAAATACCGAAAATTGGGGGTACCCTTATATGGGGACTATCCGAAAAAATGGACCTATATTCATAATATTTTGTGGAGAGATTTGGAAACTATTAAGAACTCAATGTACAAAATTTCAGCGTATTCGGTAGAAAAACGCGCTCCAGAACCCAAAATACTGAAAATTGGGGGGTACCCGTATATGGGGGATATCCGAAAAAATTGACCTATATTTATAATTTTTTGTGGAGAGATTTTGTACCTATTAATAACCCAATGTATTAAATTTCAGCGTATTCGGTTGAAAAACGCGCTCAGGAACCCCAAAATACCGAAAATTGGGGGTACCCTTATATGGGGGCTATCCGAAAAAATATACCTATATACATAATTTTTTGTAGAGAGATTTGGTACCTATTAAGAACTCAAAATACTAAATTACAGCCAATTCGGTGGAAAAATACGATCAAAACCCCCAAAATACTGAAAATTATGAGGTACCGTTATATGGGGGCTACCAGAAAAAGTGGACCTATATTTATAATTTGTTGTGTAGACATTCAGTACCCAATAAGAACTCAATGTACCAATTTTCAGCGTATTCTGTTGAAAAACGAGCTCAAGAACCCCAAAATACCGAAATTTGGGAGGTACTGTTATATGGGAGCTATGCCTAAACGTGGACCGATATATCCCATCTTCGAACTTGACCTGCCTGCAGACAAAAGACAACCCTATGCAAAATTTCAGCACCCTATCTCAATTCCTTCAGAAGATAGCGTGATTACAACAGACGGACGGACGGACGGACGGACAGACGGACGGACGGACGGACATGGCTAGATCGTCTTAGAATTTTACCCTGATCAAGAATATATATACTTTATAGGGTCGGAAATGAATATTTCGATGTGTTACAAACGGAATGACAAAATTAATATACCCTCCATACTATGGTGGAGGGTATAAAAACACAGACACACACACACAATTTAAACCATTTTTGTAATTTGCATTTTTAAATGAAATATGTAGACGCCCCTCAAATAATATTTTTTATGAGACCTGCAGAACGTGGATTTATTAAAAATATTTTTTTCAACCCCTACGAGAAGAATTATATTAAAAAATAATATTTTTAGAAGGAAGATTTAAATCATACTTTCGATTTGGAGAATGGATTTTTATACCCTTCACCACTCGGTGGTACAGGGTATTATGTCTTTGTGCACATGTTTGTAACAGGCAAAAGGAAACGAGATAGACACATGGTTCCTTTGGAGAATATCATAGAATCACTTTCTGAGTCGATTTATGTATGTCCCTCTGTCTGTTCATGTCACTTATTTGGCCCAAGGACGAACCCTATTGAAATTGGGAAAAATCGGTTCAGATTTAGATATAGCTACCATATATATTTTCATCCGATTTAATATAAACAGTGCATATGTATCTTTCGATTTGCACGAAATTTGGTACAGCGTAATGAATTAGGTCTAGAATGATGTGTGTCAAGTTTCCTGAAAATTGGTTCAGATTTGGATATAGCTCCCATATATATTTTCACCCGATTTAATGTAAACTGTGCATATATATCTTTCGATTTGCACGCAATTTGGTACAGCGTAATGAATTAGGTCTAGAATGATGTGTGTTAAATTTCGTAAAAATCGGTTCAGATTTAGATATAGCTCCCATATATATTTTCGTCCGATTTTATGTAAATGGTGCACCAAAGTCTCTATATATCCTTCGATTTGCACGAAATTTGGCACAGCGTAATGAATTAGGTCTAGAATGATGTATGTCAAGTTTCTTGAAAATTGGTTCAGATTTGGGTATAGCTCCCATATATGTTTTAGTCCGATTTAAGGTAAATGGTGTACCAAAGGCCCTGAAAATCATTCGATTTGTACGAATTTTGGCATAGCGTACTGAATAAAGTCTAGAATGACGTGTGCTAAGTTTGGTGAAAATCGATTCAGATTTAGATATAGCTCCCATATATAGTTTCGCCCGATTTTAGGTAAATAGTGCACCAAAGTCCCTATATATATTTCGATTGGCACGAAATTTGTGCACCAAAGTCTAAATTAAGTCTAGAATAATGTGTGCAAAGTTTCGTAAAAATCGGTTCCGATTTACATACACCTCCTATATATATTTTCGTCCGATTTTAAGTACAGGGTGCACTAAAGATCCATAGCTAGGCCGATTGACACAATGTACTGAAGTTTATATAAATTAATCTCTGGCAAGTTTCCTTGAAATCGCTTCAGATATAGCATAGCTTCCATATATAATTTCGACTTATTCATGTTAATTGTATAACAAATAACCAATGGGTCAATGTCGGCCCAGTCCCACTTTACTACTTTCCTTATAAATATTTTTATAGGTCTATAACAAGGCGTAGATTTTTTTATAAATATTTTTTAGAGTCCTATAACAAGGCGTTTATAGATTTTTTAAGAAAATATTTTTTTAAAGAATATTTTTTCAATAATTTTTTAAAAGAACATTTTAAAAAAATTAAAAAAAATTTCAATAATTTTTTGAGGAATTTTTTTTAAATAATTTTTTTAAAGAATATTTTTTAGAAAATTTTTAAAAATATTTTTTTTTTTTTTTTTTTGAGAGGATTTTAAAACAATATTTTTCAAGAGATATTTTCAGAATTTTTTTGTTAAATTTTTTAAGATTTTTTTTTTCAATTTTTTATATATTTTTAATAATATTTCCAGCACCTTTTTTAAAGAATTTTTTTCAAAATTTTTTTTAAAGGAACATTTTAAAAAGAATATTAAAAAATAAGAAAAAATTTAAATAAATTTTTTAGGAATATTTTTTAAAAAATATTTTTTAAAAAAATTTTTTAGAAAATTTTTAGAAAATATTAAAAAATTTCTAAAAAATAAAACAATATTTTTCAAGAGATATTTTCAGAACTTTTTTAATAAAATTTTAAAGATTTTTTTTCATTTTTTTATATATTTTTAACAATATTTTTAGCACCGTTCAGTAGCTCTGATTGTTTTAAAGAATATTCTCTATGGATGTCTCAAGGAATACTGTTTTCAAATATTCAAATATTTTTAAGCAATATAAATTCAAGATTTTTTAAAAAATCTTCAAACATAAATCTGAGGCGTAGAAAATGTTGGAATGTTTATTTGAGTTTTAGAACAATAATATATATTTTTTCTTTAAATTGGGGTTGTTTTGAAAAAATGAAAAAAATTGTTTTTAATATTTGAAGTTTAATTGCTTGGGTTATAAAAACCAAACCATTTAAGTCTTTGTTTATTTCTTTTCATATTCAGAATCAATACTTCAATTTCGTGTCTATCAATATTTTATGCAATATGTAGTTTAATTATAAATATTACCATTCAATATTCACTTAAGCATTAAATAAAAAAAAAAAAAAAAAAAAAAAAAAAAAAAACATCTACACCTGCATTTCAAATCAACTTTGGCAATAGAACCTAAATACACAACCCACAAATTATGGGTTTGTTACTTTGCACACACACACACACCATAAAAAATTAAAACAAAAAAACTAAAAATTGTGATGTAAAACTAAATTTTACAATTAATAAAAAAAATAGTAAAACTAACTTTTATGTAAATTTTGGTGTATTTCATTTTTTCAGTTTATTGAACTGAATTTGCATTTAAATTTTCTGTTAATTTATGTCTCATGAAAATTGTTGTATACAAAAAAACAAGTCAGGCTAAAAGTCATTCAGTCATATGACAGACGATGACTTAACGCCCACACACACAAAACACACGCTGTTAAAGGGGCTTAACCAACTTCGATGCATAATAATATTTCATTCACTCGATATTAAACAAATTTGGGTTTGAAAACAACAAAAACAAAACAAAATTGTGTCTAATTTACAGCTTTTGTTTTATTTGAATGTGAAAAAATAATAACCAGTAAAATTAGCTATTTGTTTTTTTATAAATAAATTATCACATGTTTAATCCAGATTACATGATGTCTTAATTAGAAGAGCCAATTCAAATATTCGAAGTGTATAAAAAAATTAAAAATATAAAAGAAAAATTAAAAATTATATAAATAAAAATTTAAAAATTAAAAAATAAATAATTTCTTACCAAAATATTGTTCGGAACATATTCAGGAAATTTCATTTTATCTTTTATTCAAATGAAGTCCTGCGTAGTTTTCAATTTGTTGTTTACAGTGTTTTTTGAAAACACTCGTTAGTTTTTGGTTTTTAATATTATTAATTTTTCTTGTATATTAAAAATAAATATTATTTAATTTCGTTGAAACTAATTTGTTGGTCTCGTTATTCTCTCTCCGTAGAAGTTCGTTAATTTTTTATTTTGACTTTTTTTATTATTTATTTTATTTTTTTTAATAACACTTAAGGCAAGGTCATTTAGAATATTGTGTGTTATTTTTTGTTATTTCATTTAAATTTATGCAATAATAATTACGTAGTCGTTTAACAATTAATTAATAGAATTCTATTTACATTTTTATTACTATTATACAAAGTACTTTTTGTATGTGTGAGACAGCAGATACTGGAATAAATATTAGCTATGAAAAATAAATAAATAAAAGGTAAACGCAATTAGAAAACTAGTTTTCTTATTCGTTATTTTTTATTCATATTTGTATTTTGCATCTGGAAATGTATTTCCTATTGAAAACATATTTAAAAATTTCTAATTTTATTATAAAAAAATAAATGTTCCATTCTTATTTCATTCCAAGACACCAAAGGCATCATATATCAGCTGTTTTTCTAACAACAAGAACAAGTACAACAGAAAATGACACATTCTTGTCATTTGTATTCTTCTTTTCATTTGAGATCATCTCTATTTTTGTATCATGAAAAGTGACATCTCTTCATTATTATTATTAGATTCCATTATAAATATAATTTACTTTCTATTGGTAACATATTTTATAGCTTGTAATATTAATTCGATTGCTTTAATAAATGTTACAGATTTATGTCAAAAGAATGGCACACAAAAGGCAGGCACATGCTATATCAGCTGTTTTCTAACAATAACAACAACAGCAGTAAAATACATATTACCGGAATCACTCTCACGTTTGTCATTTGTGTTATTCTTTTGTTGAGAGCATCTCTCATCTAAAGTGGACCATTCACTGTCTTGTATTGCCGCCGTTATACATTTTGTGACATTGTTTTCTCTTTCTTTTGTTGTCCACTTATTAATAGAAGTTAACATTTGTTGTCCATTTACATATGAATAAAATGTTTTACAAGATTATTTTGTCTCATTTAAATTGATAACAAAGATGAGTGCCATCATTAATGACTGTGCTCTCCCTCTTTCCCTTCAAATTAAGCTTTCTTTGTAGCCGTTAAAAAATGAATGCATGGGGCTCCGAATCTCATATCATTTCTGTATTCTTTGTTTTAGTGTTAAGTGATGTTCTTAGCGAACGACCGTGTTGTCTATTCACTTAATTATTGTTATTAAAAGCAGTTAACATTTTTGTTGTTGTTGTGTTATGTTCCATTTGCATTTAAACACAAAATAATTCATGATCATGTTTGAATAAACTACACAAAGGAAGGGAAAATCTTCTGTCATATAAGTTGTTTAACTGTGATAATGATGGCCATCAATTAGTGATATGAAGAGACCACAGCGCTCTCTTCAAATGATGTTTTGTTTTCAACAGTTAAATGACATGCATTGCTCTCAGTACACTATCTCTCGCTCTCTTTCTAACTCCATGTATGTGTGCTTTATTGTTGTGTGATGCTCCTGTCGTACGATTGTTTTGAATGTCCACTGTTTTTTTCTTGTAGTTCAAGATCATTCTTGAATTAAAGCAGATATAAAATGAATAAACGAAACAACAACCCTCATTTAAATAACTCCAATGATGGCCGCGCTCTCTCTCTCTCTCTTCAAGAGATACTATCATTGCAACAGTTAAATTGCATGCATTGTTCTTATTACATTCCCCCTCTCTCTCTCAAACACTCCATCAATTAATGGTTTGTTGTTGTGTTAAGTGGCGGCTCTCCACTGTGCGGGCAGGCAGGCACACAATTACCAAACAAGAACAATCACAGTGTGTCAAACAGCTGTTTAATGTGATGTTATTGTTGTTTGATTGCTTGTCTTAAATCCCTGTTAATCCATGCTGAGTATGGTATGGTGTATGTGCTCAAGTTAGTCATTCGTTATGGTGTGTTACGTATTAGCTGTATATGTACGTAAAGACAGGGCACATGTGGTTTTTTTTAAAGACTTAATTTAAAGTGTTTCGGTTCTTGTTTCCTCTTAAAAATTATGATTTTATTGTTTCATGGTAAATCGGTCACTTAATTGATGATTGCCGAGAACATAGGGAGAGTGTAAAAGGTTAATTATAATTATGAAAAAAAATGTTTTAAATGATCATGGCTGGAAATATTTTTGTAGATGAAAAAAAAAACTACATTTGGAATGTTTTTTTCTTCAATTATCTTTTGCAGATACAAAATTCATTCAATCACATGATGTCATATGCAACAACAACGACATTGGCCTCTATGAATGTTGCTGCTTCTGTTTTTTTGGTATGCAGTATTTAAATATTGAATGAGTTATGCCATTGGCTTTGTTGTTTTTCTAAATCATTAATAAATTTAGTTTTTATTTAAAATCATTTTGTTGTTGGTTATTTTAAAAAGTTGTGATCTTGTACCCCTTTTAACGTTTTTCTCGCTCTCCCTCTTTCTCTACTGCAATGCAACGTTTTTTGTATCTCTACTTCGAACGAGGTTTAAGGTTGTTTGCTTTGGGTGTCATTTTTTATTGTATTGTTGTTGTTGTAATGATAAAGCACGTTTTTTTTTTCTTTTGAAAAAGCTACATCGTCTACAGTTTGTTTTTTTCGTATTCTCTCATTTCGTACTTTCAAGCAATAAATAAAAACACAAATCAATTTTAATGGTATTCACTTTGAATTTCAAATCTGAAGAAAGGCAAAAAAATTTATTCAGCACATCGATCAAGTGTTCCACATTTTTGATTGTTGGCAATTTTTTTGTAAAACAACTACAAAAAAAGCTGGATTTTTTCCAGATACTATAGCCAAAGAATGTTAAATGGCTAGGGTGAGATTGTTTACCACCCTGCTTGGCCAGATGGCTTGTGATGGACGGATTTAGTCATGCACAACATGTTTGGAATGTAAATAACAAAAACAATCATAAAAATTTCTAACAATGTAAACGGAACTTTTTTTCTGTGTGAGGGAATTTCAAAATTGCTTCGCCTTGAGACGATCTGAAGGTCGTTGCTTTGGGAGAAGCAGAATTTTTAATAAAAAATCGTTGGTTTTTTCGTGAAGAAGACCTCCGAGAGAAGATCCTCTGGGCTTCTAGGAGAATAACTTCTG